GGTTCTTTATCATGGCCGAAGCTACTTCGGCATCCTTCCACTCTGAAAACCCGGGAAGGATATCCCAAAGGACAGCGGGAACTTCATCGTCCCGCCCAGAAGCGCTCGGCCCCTCCGTTCTCTGAGGAGGAGCCGAGGAAATTGGAGTCGCCCTAATCACTTCAGCAGGGTCAGACTCTGCTCTTTGTCCATTCCAGGTCCCAATCCTGTTCCTGGGATCGGGAATTGGCCTTGCTCTTCTTGGAGCACGGGCTCTACCCCTAACTCCTCTCGCCATTGATAATTTCGAAGAAGAAAGTCGAAAAAAGGGAAGGAGTTCAAATTCGAAGAAAAATAAACTAAAATCAAAGGAATTTACCTTAATCTGAAGCAAAAGTTGCCGATTTACGAATTGGTAGTGGCGAGTCTCAGTTTCTAAGCTTAATGCTCAGGGAATTTGCGAAGTTTTGATGCGGGTTCTTGGGTTCTCTCGAGAAATCTGGGTTTGTGTTGGTGAATAAGTGAGGAGAGATGACGCGCCTCTAATTATATCTCCAGAAATGAGAATACGGGGAGTCCGCGTTTCAATTTCTCTTAAATACCTCACTAAGTAACCGTTAAACACACGACCTTGCCATTAAACTGCCCATTATCCGTCCAACTTCCACAATTATCCGCCTTAACTGTTGTTATCTCATTAATTACGGTTTAAATTCAAATTTTTGGATTAATTAAATCATTCACTTCCCTCCTTTTCTGATTAAATCAAACCCGACCCGTCATCCTTCCAAATCGGGTCTGGGGGGCAAGTTGTTTGGGTCCAATTTAGTCCAATTGGGCTTAGGCATTAAATGATCCAATTAAAAGCCCAAGGTCAAGGTTCATCTCTCCAATTGTGCTAAAGTCAAAGATCAGTCCTCAAGGCAAGCCAATTGGGCTAAGGCCCAACTTCTCCATGTATGCAGAGGTATAAAAGCCATCAATATTACATTTGTACATTCATTCAAGCAAAGCCTCAAGCAATTAATTCTCTTGCACAATGTTCTCTTTCTACACACTGTACTGACTTTAGCATCGGAGGGGCCTTCCTCGGCAACACCCCCGAGGCTAGTTTACGTGTGTTTACTGTGCAGGAAACCTTCGGCCCAACATTACTTGGATCGAATCTAGTCTTCTCCACTTCATCGGACCTTCGACAAGGTCCCATTGTTTTCACCCGAAACAAATAGAAATAGAGGTAATTTTTTTAAGAATATGATAAATTTAAGATATTATCTTTAGTTGAGAAAGTAGGTTTATCACAGAGATTCGAAGAGGAAAAGGTATGAGTCACATGAGTATGAGTGCATTGGATCCAAATTCTTCCAGGTACCAAATCATGCCTTCCCCTTTTATTATTCAGGATGTTCTCATTAATCATAATGCCTATTATGTTTAACAAAGATTTAAAGACATGTCATGCATCTATTAATGATCCCCTTGTTGAAAAATTAATTAAGGGACTTGAAGGAAAAATAATTAATAGACACACATTTTGGAAAATAATTAATAGACACACATTAAAATATACGTGAAAAAAAAGGACATTAAAAATAGAATAAGGAACATTCATGTGAAATGACTCAAAAAGAGAACAATATTTACGAAAATATTAACCTACTATAAACATTGTGCTCTCGGATATATAATTTAACAATTCTAATAAAAGAACATAGGGAGTACATAATATCATAAACATATGATGTCTTTCTTAATTTGGTATTAATTTAGGAACACGGGACCAAATTATGCGTAATTTCAATTTAGTAAATTTAAATTCCATGCATTTTTTCAATTTTTAGCTTCTTATAGATATGTAGCCCTAAAAACTATATACCCCTCCAAATCTCAAAGTTCAACTTTATTTGCATTTACACGGTCGTCTCCAATGTGCACCTTTAACCATATATATGTTCGGATATATATAAATGAAAATTATAAAAAGTTGATATTTGGAGAATATATAAGGAAAATCTAAAAAGATCGATATCACATGCTAGTTTATATCTATCTATTATATGGTTTTAAAAAAATCTATCTATTGTATAAATCAAAACATAAGGTCAAAGTTTGACCACGTAAATGATGAGCTAATGAGACGAGCTTTTAGAAACAGCTAGATGCCCCTTATTTTGAGATGTTATGCTCTGTTGAAATCTGCTCTGCCGAGTATTAATAACGTGCTATGCTGACAGCTATTCACCTCAGCTCAGCTAAGAAGGGTCAACAGAACATAGTTGTAATACATCATTTTTCATTTTATAATACACATTACTCAGTATTTATTAATTTTTTTTTCTCTAGTCTTAGTAGTTGTAAATTGGAAAGTGGCAAAAACAATGCAATGTGTAACGAGCCCCGTGCATCGAACGGCAAAGATTGAGTTGTCAGGTTGTAGAGAGAGTCGAAGTATCATGATATGGAGTTACTTGGGATTATCCAGGAATGAATGAATTCAATTACGAGTACTGAAATACTCCAACATTGAACAATGCACCTTTGACTTGACCTCTTTATTTTATTCTCTTTTTATGTTGGAGATAGAGCTATAATTTGACCTTACCAGCCCACATGTTCAGTGAAGCCCATTGACGGCCCAAACAGACTCTGACCCCAAGCCTAAGTAGTAAAATTAAATATGCATTCGGTGATTAGGCTTTTAAGTTTAGCACTTTCAGCCCACCTGTAATAATTGGGGTAGACGCGCTTCTGGCCTTTTGGGCTGAAAACCAAGTATTTATGTTTCTTCATTCTTTTCACATTCAATCCCAATCATCCATTCTTAATTTCTTATCATGAAAGATTGAAAAGGGAAGCTACAACTATTCATAAAGGAGTCCAACTAACTCTTTAATGTGGCATTCTAGACATTGAAATTGAAAATAAAAGGCATTTGGGGAGTACCTTGGCAGATATTATCGAAGACACTCGTTCTCTTTTTTCTCGGTTTCACAATTGGAGTATCTAGCACATCTACCAAGAGGCAAATCGTAACGGATAGTAGTATGGATATTGATGTTTGTAATGACTCTAATTTGTTTTCTATTCTTTCTTCTGATACATTAGGAATTCCCCTCGTGAGGAGAACTTCCTAATGTTATTTGTTCTTACCTTTATTTTTTTTATAAAAAAGGTTGTATCACTTGTATAATTGTATCTTTTTCGTTCCGGACCAATTTTTTGAACACCCCTTGTATATCACTAAAGTATATGATCAATTGTTATGTTTTTTATTTAAGCATATTTCATATGACAATATGACAATTATATGTGTGTTTAATGCTTAACCAAATTCAACATGGTTTAATCCTCGGACTCATGAAAAAAATACCAAAAAGTAATAACTGCTTCAAAAGCTAGTTGACCAACAGATTGACTTGTTAATTATTTCCCTTCTCCATGTTTATGTGAGGTAATTAACCTTAACTCACACATGTTATATTGTTCAAAAATTAAGACATTCGTAGTAAAGGAGATGAATGTTAATGAAACATAGTTTAGTTGTTTAGATTTAAGGCCGGTTCACATTTACTTAATTTCAGTTCAGTTCAGTTCAGTTCAGATCCAATCAGTTCAGTTCAGTTCAACTCTTAATTTTCCTCTCTCATAAAATATTTATTTCAGCTCAATTCAATTCAGTTTAGTTCAGCTCTAATCAGTTCAGTTCAGCTCCAATCAGTTCAGTAAATGTGAACAGGCCCTAGTGCCGGCAATATTAAAGGATTGACTCGACCAAAAACTTAAGCGGATGGTTGAAGCCCTAAAGTGGTTTATATAACCTATTAGACAACTTATTCCCTTGGTTGTCATCTTGTTTATATAACCTATTATGTTCACATTTACCTAATTACTTCAAACGTAACATAATTTTGATTGTAGTGACTTAAGTAGATACACGATGTATTGTCATCTTGCACAATTCAAATGACAAATCCCTCACGCATACTTCTATTATTCAGATAATACGAAATTGCGAATTGAAGCCGCTTGCACTTAAAGCTTCAACTTCTTTCACACTATTCGCAAAGCGACGTCTATCAAAATTGTCCAAATTAAAGATCTTGACAACATTTATGGATTTTTTTTTGGAAATACATGTGTTACATGAGGCAGGTGACCGTGTGGGGCAAGGGCAATCCCTAAGTAGCAATGCAACGTAAAATACTTGTATATATGAACATACGTAAGGCTGTCGAACTCTCCTTTCCACCGTCCATCTTAAATAACTACCACTATTTAAAAAACTGTTAAAAGTGCTGTTGTTATATACAAGTATAAATATAATAATAAAAAATCTCATAAGATAGCATGGAAATATTATTAGGTGTTGACAAAATAAAAATTGTAAGGTTGCAATGACTTGGATCCACGCCAACATGATGATGTTCAATTTCTCGTGTACTATCTTACCAGAAATGCTATCCACACATACAAAATTAATTAATTATTTCTAACTGAAAAACTTGCGACAGAAAAACTTTATAAAGTGGTTTGATTAATTATCATTTTTAATGGATAAAACTAACGTATTATAGATTGTTTTGTCAATTTGAACGTACCTTTTCGTCTACTAATACGTGTACTTTACTACTTCAGCATACAATTTGTTCATGACTAGATTATGAGTAGGATAATCCTTTTTCTTATGTGGATAATGAGGACCAAGCACTTTTTAAATAGTATGAGCACCAAATATAAAAATAAGAAAAGTAAATATATGAATAAGTCCACGGATAAATTATTGAAAAGTTCGCAAATTTTGGAGGAAGAATCATTTAATCTTTATATCAATTATACTGGATATATAAAGCACTTTTATTAATTACGGAGTATAATTATCATTTATACTCCGTATTAGTTAATTACGGATAATTTTTTGACATGTCTATTATAAACTCAGATATAATTAATTACGGATAATGTTTTGACATGTCTACCATAAACTCAGATATAGTTGGATAAAGTTTTGATAAACTGCTAGGGTGGGGCTCGGCCTTCGAACCGTACGTGAGACGAGTTTCTGCCTCATTTTATCCAAAAACTGGGATTAAAATTGTGAGATTGAGATGCAGTATATTAATTGTTAGTAAGAGATTAAAATGTAATGATTTCACACTTGCACAAATAGTCAACATTTTAATATATCATCAAATTTGTATTTTTTTTTTAAAACGGATCAAATTTGCATTTTATAAGTAAATTAAGGAGATTTTTTTTTTATTTTATTTTAAATATGAACTTATTAACCCTTATCGTCTCAGTAGCTTTAATTAATCAATTGGATCATGGGAATTAAATAAAGGGAACTAGGATAATTAGGTTTTACAGCAAAATCGCAAAGGACAAAAGAAAGGAAGCAGCAATAAAAAGAGTAGGAATAGCCAAAACAAAACCCAGAAACAGCTAAGATTAAGGAAGGTGACAGGAAGTAGACGAAGATCATATAGTTTTTTGATAAGTACCCTGTCTTATTACCTTTTATCTTGTATTTTCCAATTCAACAAAATGCTAATAATGGATTCAATTAATATTATTATTATTTGTTAATTACACAGTCAATTCATATTCATGACCCCATCACAGATTCAATCAACCCCACCTCTCAAATCTTAATCTCCCTCAACAACTACTACTTAAGGGAAGAATGAGAGAGAAAGTAACATTACTCTTTTATTTTCTGGCTTCAATTTTCTTCATCAAAAATTAATAGCAACTGTTCATAATTCAGGCATTCTTTTTAGTCATCAAATTGTAAGTCTTCTTAATCTTCTTTTGTTTTAGTTGAGCTTTGTCATTCATCTGGGTATCAACTATCAATGTATTTATGTATGTGAAAAGTTTTTTTTTTTTTTTGGTTGGTATGATCTTATATGAAATTAAGTGTAAAGTGTTGGTTCAATTATGCTTGTACAATATTTAACCAAAAAGGGATTTTTATTATGTTTATTAAGTTTGTAGATTTATAATTTTTTGGGTGGAATTTTGGGAAGGTGAAAATAAAAATTATGTTAGACTAAATTTAGAAATTGATTTTAGGTTTTGTATTTTTATTGGAGCCTTATATAGTCAATATAAGTTGTGAGTAGAAGATAAAGGAGTTTTGAATTATGATTGAGAAATTGAAGATTTACTAAAATTGAGTAATTTTCAATATTAGCAGGAGTAGAAATTTCAAAAATGTGTAAAATGGAAGATGTAGTAGACAATTCAGTCAATGTGACTCCTCCACCAGCACCTCCATTGCCCTGTGCACAATCTAAGAGGGTTTTGGTTAAGTCTAAGGGCATGTCATCTAACAGAGACCAATGCTCTGTGAGCAATGCAACCACGGCTTTGTATGACCGCCTTTTCGATGAAGCTTATCGAGCTGATGTTGTCGTTCATACAGATGATGGTGGCCAGATTTATGCCCATGCTAATATTTTGGTAAGATCTTTCAGAACCCATTTGACTTTTTGCATTATTTCGTTTTTTGTATGAAATTAGACAATTCTCAATTCAGCTTATATTCAATATTGGCTTGTAAACTTTGATTTTTCAGTATATCATTGTTGAAAGAACACGTGTTTTGATTGATGTTATTGTCGATGCATGGTCCAATATACCCAAGTTACCTTGATGGAAAGAAGACTTAGGATGGATTTTATGCTGTCATTCAAGAAGATGTTGATGTTCTTGATTCAACAACTTTTTTGTAGTCTTTTGCTGATGATAGTTGTCTATTGACAGGGCATGACATCTCCAGTGATCAGACACCTGGTGAAGGAATCCAAAAGCAAAAATCGACGAAGATCCATCACAATTCGTGGTGTTCCACATGATGCAGTTCGTGTTTTCATTAGATTTCTCTACTCTTCATGGTAATATATTGCAGAGTTTCATTTTTTTTTTAATTGTATATAGTAATATTGAATCTTGTGAAAGCACATTAGTTAATGGATGCTGATTGCTGAATTTCTGCTGTCATTCTGCAGCTATAACCCAGAAGATATGGAAGAATATATTCTGCACCTTCTGGTATTGTCTCATGTGTATGTGGTTCCTCACTTGAAAAGAGAGTGTGAGGTGCAGCTAGAGAATGGCTTGCTTAACATAGAGAACAGTGTCGATGTTTTCCAGCTTGCTCTTCTATGTGATGCCCCAAGGCTCAGCCTCATTTGTCACCGGATGATCTTGGACAATTTCAAGGCTGTCTCAGCCACCGATGGCTGGAATGCGATGAAAGAGGCTCACCCAATCCTAGAAAGAGAGATTCTAGCGACTGTGGCCGAATCTGATAGAGTAAGTATACGGAATACACCTTTATGGCTGATCAATATATATTCATCTTTAATCTTATATGGTGCTCCATATTTGTGTACATTAATTATTTATTTATGGGTATATTTTTCATTTTGTCAATTCTGGACCAAGCTCTTTTGATCTCTTATAAGTAGTTAGTTTATATGAAGGGATCTGGAGAAAATGGGAGGAGAGGAAAAGTAAGGGATTTATTTTCCATTGTTTGGTTAGATTAGGGAAGGCCGGAAGGGGAGGGAAAGGAACGGGATAGATCCATTTTCCTTCTATAATAAACTAACATCTTCCAAACTTGGAATGACTTGGATGTAAATAAACACCCCTTCGGCATTGCCCATAAGCCCTCTGGAGTCCCATCCCAATCTCCTCACAGAAAAATTATCCAAATATTGGCCTGGCAACTTGGCTGTTATCTTTCTGATGCCTGACTTGAATAATTAGATAACCAGGCTGTAACGACCACCAAATCGCCAACAATGAACTAGAAAAATATCATAACTATAGCATTTACTCTTCATAGATCTTGTCATTGAAAATGTTGGGGAAACATCTTTTATCTGGTTTTTTCATTCGTAATTTAGTTTTGCAGTGTTTTCACCCAGCTTCATGTCCTCAATTTATTCATTGTCATTATTTGACCTGCAGAGACAAAGGGTACTCTTTAGAAAGAGGAAGGAGAAGGAGATGTATGTACAACTGTACGAGGTCATGGAAGCTTTAGTCCATATATGCAGAGATGGATGCAAAACAATTGGCCCTCATGATAAAGCACTAAAGGAAGACGAACATCCTTGTGGGTACACGGCCTGCAAAGGACTCGAACAGTTAGTCCGACACTTTGCTGCCTGCAAGCTTAGAGTTCCTGGTGGTTGCGCTCAGTGTAAGAGGATGTGGCAGCTCTTTGAATTACACTCCCGCCTTTGCATTGACTCTGAAGCATGCAGAGTTCCCTTATGCAGGTACATTAAGATTTTCCTTTCCATCTTCTTTTCTTATAAGCTAGTTAAATAGTAAAACTTGTCAATTATTGTTAATTGTCCATATACTGCTCTCTTTACATTGCACCTTGTTAGTTATAGCTGAAAAAAACACGCTCATATATCAAGAAACATACTGTATCTGTTCATATCCATCATTCAGCTCATGTTAAAAAACACTTATGAACCTAAGAGCAGTTTGCATTGTATGACCAAGTGTGATTTTATTTCCGGGATTCACTGATATAGAAAGCAAAAACTATGGCATATACAGGACAGTGAAGCATCATTCATGTTCATCTTGTAGTTACGCACCCACTGCTTTACTAATTAAAGAAAAAATTGGTGGTTTCAGGAACTTCAAGGACAAAAGTATGAAGCAAAACAAGAAGGAAGAAATGAGGTGGAAAATATTGGCAAGAAAGATAGTTAGATCCAAGAGTGTCTCCGGAGCGCCATTCTTTTCTTTGGCTAGCTCCACATGACAATGTAATGAACAACTTTCAGCTACTTGACAATTGAATATATAAAATTCTTTATTCTTTATTCTTGGCACGATTATTGTCTCTTGATTACGTGAGGGGTTAGAGTATTGTTCATTAGAAGTATCAACTTTATTCAAAGGGCGTGGGCGAAGATATACTCTATTTTTTTAATGGGCATAGCTTCTTCCTCCTTTCCCTTTGGACCTTGTAGGATAGTAAGGGTTTCATTGGGTTGTTGGATGATTAACTGTACACGGTTCGTAGGAGTCTTTTGTATGTGAATGTATATGATAGAGCATCTACGTATAATATATATGACAAATAGGGGTATTATGAAAAAAAGTACGGTAAGATCCATGATACCTTGCGCACCTACTTGCACACGTCCGTCTCACCCGCAAACTCAAGCAATGTGTCCGTAGGTGCACATTATAATATTACATTGTGAATTTGGGTATGTAGTAAATTACTACCTCTGTTAACTATTATTTGTAACAAAGGAATATCTTATATCTCACAAATAATACCCCTTTGTTACAAATAATAGTTAACAGAGGTAGCACATCGTGCAAATGGGACTACAAATCTACAATGTCTTCAATCGTCATGCACATTAGTGAAGGACTTACGCCTCCTTCACTAGTGTATGCATTGTGCATTGACACATGAACATCATGCTAGCTGTTTTTTTCGGGTCGATTTAATAGCTTATTCATTATAGTAGCATATGCTTAATTTCATGAGTGATTTAAGAATAAAGCAAGTCCACAAGGTTGTTGTGCTCATTATTCCTAATAATGGGATAAACCAGCTAATTTCTTGAAAATAATTTTGCCCAATAATAATTCCTTCCTCTTTTCATTTTCTTCCAATAATTATGCAATGTACTGTATACTATAAATGTAATAAATTGATAGAAAAAGAAAGCAAGTAACCAGACAAATCAACAACAAAGATAATCTTTAATACACTCACCCCATTCGTCAGAACATCTATTATACACTCGGGTATACTTAGATTTAACAATTAACATCTTACTCCGTGTTTCCCTAATGCATGTACCATGTAATCCCAAAATAAATGGAAATTCGTTAATGACACAAAAGACTTCATCAATTCATACCTAGAAAGCCAATCAAAGTGAAATCAATTGCTTTCATTTCCAAATCAAACCACTAAAATACGAGTATACAAACCCTAAATTTTCCGGTTTCTTTTCGAAAATCCAAACACAATTCAAAAAGAAGTTGAACTTGAAATCTCCCGCTAATCGGATCCATCTGTCACCGCCAAATTCCGCAGTTTCCGTCGCTATTTTGGTAAGCATTTTAACCTAAATTTCCTTAATTATCGTTAAACTTTAATTTTCTGGGTTGAAATTTACAGTGTCTAATATCAGAATGCAAATTTTCCAACTTTATTATGGTTACTTTCATATCTTTTGATTCACTGCTCATTCAGTCATTTTCACAAACATGTGGTGTGCACTTCTTTTAATCCCATCAATCATTGTTCATAAATTGCACTTCTTTATGAACAACTTTAGTGTAATATTGTACAAATTGTAACAAATCATGCTTCATTTATTAAGATATTTTGGTAGAATAAAATTAATAATAATTTTACATGGAATAGGAAGCAAACCTATTTTCAAAGTAGGCTGTAGAAAAAACACTAATTAACCTGACTACTGTATAATTCCTCCATTAAAAGCTCAAAAAATCTGAAATTATTGAGCCTTTGATTGCTGGGTCTTTTCAGAAGATGCTATATAATTATGTATTTTCAATAGATTCTTGTCAATGCTCCTGAAGAATCGATTTGTCGACCGACTTTTTTTGTTGTATATTGTTGCTTGCCTCTCAAATGGAAATAAATGAATGGCTTCTTAGGCATGATTGCCTCGTTTTTATATTCCAATTTGATTATCTGACTCATATACAACCTGTGGTTGTGTAGACTGTGGAGGCATTGTTCTCTTGTATCATGAGGACATGCTTTCGTCTCCTGAACTGTCATCTCGTCGAACATTATACTTTGTGGGGACTGGTGCTGTTGCATATGCTGATATTCGAAATGATCTAGCCGTTCCCATTACACTTCTGCTTTCCATTGTTCCAACTTCCTTGCACACATTGTCTAGTACGGCAAGGAAGTCTCTCACAATTAGAAAGATTCTGAATGGGTGTGCTTCTTCCTTTGCTGTGTCACCGTGGAAGTATTCAGTCACTTCTCTGACATGAGCCAATGCTCTCCTTTCGTGAGCCTTGACTCGTGCAATTTGTTCTTCGGATTCCTTAAGAAATTTCTTCATTGACTCGAAGAATTTTCCTTGCATATCTGGTGTTTCAAGTTGCAAAACTAGCTTGATCTTTTGGAGCCCCATTTCTAGCTTTGACACATAGCTACTTAGGACATCTGAGTCCATCCCAGCTGCACCTCTAACACTTCCTAGCTCTCTACTTAGTCCTGACACAATCTGCAATCCTTGCTTTCTGAATGCTTCTTCCTTCTTTGTGGAGCTCAATTGATCAGCTGTCTGAGGATTGACTTCAGAGCCAATGCCTTCAGACTTTATGATTTCTTGGACGACAAAGTGGAGCAATGTGGTCTTTCCATCCGTTCCCTTGATGTCTACTAATTTTAGGAGTGTATCAAGTTTAAAGGCCTTCACATCTCCACGATTTGTTCCTGCATTCATTCTGTTCCCTGTTTGCAGAACAGCTTCGAGGAGTTTAAGGAAGAGTCTGCTACTTTTCAATTCATCACTTGCTACCTGTAACATGTCATTTACTTAGGGCATTTGTAAAAAGGAGTCAAACTAGAGGATAGGGATTTCTGGCACTTTACCTCAAGGGTTTCAAATGACTTTGTTAGGTACTTCACTTCTGAGTCAAAGTTAGCTCTGTAAAGCATAGCTTCAACTCTTTTGAAGGCAAATGGTATCTCAAGTATACCCTTGAGAAATCTCTCAGCAGCACCTAATTTTGAGATGTCGCCATTGTAGTCTTTTAGTTTTATTTCTTCTTCCTTCGTAGGTGCCATCTTGACCAATGTCTCAAAAAGCTCTGCACCCAAGCCTTCTAAATTGCCTGCTCCAAGAAATGCAGAGTTAGTGTTATAAGGAAGTTGTTACAAGAGTCAACTTATTCATGTAAATTAGTCAATTAATTAATAATAGATTGCCATAGAATTTATTGGTTTAGTCATTTGCTTTGTTGGGTATATCCTGCACCTATTGATTGGATTTTGCTGTAATTTTCTTATTTTAACCTCCCAAAGCTATATAATTAATGCATAAATCACGCATCTAAGAGATTTCTCTATACACCACGGGTAATTCTCTATTTATGTGTCAAATCATCTGGGAGAACTTCAGCACTATAGGCTTAAACAGTAAACAATTTGCAAAGTTTACTTGTTGAACTAGGAGATGCTACGTATTTCGAATGACTTTTGAATGTTCAGCATTCTCTAAGACAAGTGATCCCTTTAGGCTTAGTTAGAAAGGATCTCAATTGAAAGAGCATATATATATATATATATCAAGGTTGAGCTCTTCCACTTCTACGAGTATCAACAAATTCTGGCCCCTATATCTTAATCTGTGCGATTTAGCTAATGTAATCAAGGAACGGAGTTTTTTCGACTGTCTCAGAAAAAAAGTAACTTAAATCATGTATGTGTTTCAGACAATTTCCTTACACAATCCTATATGATCTAGATTATTCCACTTATACTACGGGAAAGAACAAAAAATAAATTAAGGTCTGTAAATAAAGCATGAAGGAATTATCCCAGGGATTATTAAGAAGAGACTCAGAGAGTTATGCATACCGTCCATAAGTGCTTCAGCAACCTCATCCCGAGTCACATTCAATGCTCTTAATAAAATGGCAATGTTCTGGGACTTCTTTGGGTCTAAAACTCGGTTCTCTTTCTCAACAGGAGGGAGAACTGATCTTCTACCTGTCTCTTTCTTAACCGTCGTAGGGGCTGTATTGCAGCCAAATAAACTTTCCATCATATCCTCGTTTAATCTGCAATGAATTGGCAAGATAGTGAAATCTGTAAACTTAGGAGTCAGTCATAAGTTATTTTGGAACCAATACACAAAAATTGTTCTGGTGGCCTTACTGAAAGGAGCTTGATTTCAGCTGGTCCCAAACAGTAGCTCGATCAGAGGTTGCCCTTACTTTATCCCAATGCAAGGGCTTCAGCCTTGGTCTTCTCTCATCTAAGTCGTCTCCATTAGGCCTTCCAGTAGAACTGCACTCATTATCAAGCTCTTCATCTGTTTTTATTGTTCCTTTTCTAAGGCCATCTCTTGAGTTAGGACTTTCCAATTGTGCCTTCGGTGACACTTGAGAAGCCCCAGTAGACCCATTTTCCATCTTATTAGATACTTTCTTCGGTGTCAGTAATGGTGCCCGTGGAGGAGGTGGTGGTGGAGGGGGTGGTGGCGGCGGAGGTGGTGGATTAGCATTCTGATGAAATGGACTATTACTGCTGAATTTTCGGAGGAGTGCTAAATTCGGTGGTGGTGGAGGAGCTGCAAATTTAGCCCTCTTGGGTATATTTGACCTTGATTCCTCCTTCCCTTGAGTCTCATACTCTTTTTCATAATCTGACTCCATCTCTGCTCGCGGCAGGGGTGGTGGTGGAGGGGGCGGAGGTGGGGCAGTGGCCTTAATAGATGGAATGATAGCATGCTTGATAACATCAGGAGATGATGAAGCTAAACCCCTTGATTTAGGTGAAGTCCTCTTAGAATGAGGGAAGGAACTTCCACCATTGGTTCTACTATTTGAACGTGTAGCCTGAGTCCAATACCCATCATCACCACTAGCAACCGAGCCATGAAATGAGCCATGGATCGAGCCGTATGGAGTATAAAACAGAGTATCACTTCTGTCCTCATCAGAAGAAGACATAGTAGCCGTTGGGGAACCCCTCTGTGGCACACTCCTTGGAGGAGCTCTATTCAATGGCGGCAATGGCTGCAAATCAGGACTAGGCCTATACCGATCTGACCTCTTCATTGAACTATCATTATTAATACTATTACTATTATTCAGCTTATGGTAAGGTGATCCATTGGCTATGTTATTCTCATTGATTGGTACTGATCTCTGATTTGATGGCTCTACTGTCCCTATATACAGGAAATTTGAAGGGGGCACTCTTGGTTCTTCTGTATGCCTTGTCGAGTTATTCGCACCACGGCCACCACCACCACCACCAACCAATTTCTGAGTCTCAACAGGGTTCTTCACCCTGTGTTTATACAAAAAGAACGCCAATGCTGATAGCATTCCTAATGTTACTATTACCACTGAGACTGCAATTGCCACTTTCTTGGTAGGCTTTGCAGCTGGCTGTGTCGCGGTTGGTATCGGACTTACCCCATTTGACGTCACAGGAGGTGGCGGTGGTGGGTTCTGAGTTGGGGTTGATCCTGCTGGCACCTCCGGGAAGAAGGGCTGGTCCGGTGTGTCCCCGGAATTATCAGCTGAAGGCGGAGGAGGTGCCAATGATGACGAATCATCGAGCCCGGGTGGAGGCGATGAGCTTTCTGGGAACAATGGTTGATGCAGGATTCTTCTGATGACTTCAACATTCCTTAATTTCTCACCATTGGCTACAACAGATAAGGTTAGTGAAATGATCAATATTAAGTTTAAAGAATGGTTTTTCATTGTGAATTTTGGTAGGATTGTTTTATTATGTGTATATTATCCCACCAATTCATGTCTAAATTCATTGGCTATTTGGCTTTCCAATAATCTTGGTTTGTGGAGAAAGAAGAGAGAGAAAAGAGTATGTGTGGAGGGAACCTTCTTTAGGCTGCAAGATCTGGATGCCCAGAACTCTGTACTGAAGTGAAATGATGTCATCAACTTAGCCGCATTCCTTTTTTTTTTTTTCTTTTCTTTTTTAAATTAATAAGCATCTAAATCACGGTCTAAAAACATACGGAGTAATAATCATGTACTCGTATACTTGTATTATTTTATATCATACAGAGTTAAAAACTAAAAAAGTTGTCACATTATTTATTACACCTTAATCAGGATTTCCAAATGGATTATTATTATTCAACGTTTTTATTTTAAGATCGATTTCATTAAATTTACTCTTTATGTCACATCCTTAATTATAAAAGTTCAACAATGGGGTATATTTTTTTCATGATTTTTGTTACTGATCTAACGTAGATTAGTGGGATTGCTGATTTGCTGTTCTAAAGAGAGATCTACTGCCAAGTGGAAAAAGGAAGAGAATCTACTTTTTTTTTTTTTTTTTTTCTTTCTTTTTATTTATTAAATGGGTTTCTTTTTCTTATTTTTCTGCATTGAAAGGAAGATAGTGAGAAGATAGTGCTAAAATATTTAAAGAAGCAATTTTGCTTGGTTGGTAGAACTGCTAAATTCGAAAAATAAATAAAGTTTATTCGTCCTTGCTGTGTAAAATATCCTTTAAAAAACTAATTTGTCTCTTTCCTTATTTTCTCATTTAGTTATTCTTTCTTTAGAGCCATTAAATGCTTCGGGATCACTTCTTCATAGTATTCCTTGTATACTTTCAGTGGGGCGGCAATCTCCTGTTTTTCATGCCTAGAGCTTCTAAACTTTTCCTTGACCTTCATTTCCTTTGATATGAGATAACCCCTCATCATCATGTTTTACCATCGGTCGAATAGTCATAAACCAACATGATTCTACAAAATTGGCCATCCAATTCGAATGTCCCAATGTGAGGTTGTGATGGTGGAGTAGTGATATCGCTCTCCACCTTATATCCTGTGGTTAAAGGATCAAATCTCATAGGAATAGTGATGAGAATCGATACCATTATCACTTGGAATTAGGAGGGGGGTTCTAACCACTTGAGCAGTTGAGCTGTTCCTTACTCTCTAAGTGACTATTAATGTTAAGTATACGTAATTACATATCAGTTTATCTTTGGGTTGTGTTCTATAGCAAAAAGGTTAAGAGCATGTTTTATACTCCTAATTTAGATATAAAAACAATTCTCCATGTTTATACATAAATAGTTTGTTTGTGCTTTAGTAATACACCGTATAATCTTCCAATCTACTGTCACTAACATGATTGAGATCCTGTCATATTGGACCCTAGTTATAGAAGTGAGGGGAAAATTAAATCAAAGAATAAGAACAAAGGAAATTTGGCCACGTGGTATGGCAAAACGTCAAATATTAATACGAGTACTAATCAAAATTGATGCCCTACTTCCTTCTCCCACCCTAAGTGCTTGAGATCTAGCTGTTGTTAGTACACTGTCGCAGGTGGTAAAAAGGCTTTTGTACCATTAAATGTGGGAGGTTTTAGGGCTTAGATGAATTCCAATTATTAGGCCCATGAATTTATTTATGGCCGAAAAAGCCAAAGAATCAAGGCCATTTCTTAATATACTCGAGTACGGAGTATTTCTTTCAACACATGAGAAGTCGTTTCTAACTGACCTTCGGTCTTTAAATTTGAGAGAAACATCGATCTTTCTCTAGATCAATTAAATCAATGTAACGTATGTAGATGATGTTTGACAATTCTCTACACGACCTGTCTAAACCGCTGATTGTATAATTGTAAAGACGTAATTGTCAAATTCTTTGTAGAAAAAAAATAAAGGGTTGATGTGTAATGTTGAACATTATTTATGCCTTTTGATTTGATACCCTGCCTGGTCCAGTGAACCACCAAGTCACCGACTCATAAGACAGTATGACAAGATTAAGAGCATATGCTTTCTTTAGACGTACAGTACATAATTCTTGCTTTAAACTTTTACTTTTGTTGGTGTTGTTGGTATTTGGGTGAGTGTGTAGCTCAGTGTTCAATTCCAAAGTAGAGTGTAAAGACAATGCTATCCTTTTCCAACCCTTTAGGTTTAGGATCCTTAATTCTTTTTTAATCGTTTAATAAAATCAATCTTTACTCTTTTAATATTGCGTGTTTGTATGACTAACTTTAATCATTCTAAAGCTTTTTATTGCGTTTCATCATACAACTTCTAGCTACATAATGACCGTTTTTAGATCAGGGTTTTAATTCTCCCTTTGCTTATCTGGAAAGTTGTTGCTCATTATGAATGTTTGCTACTACTTGTTCTTTTTACTTGTTTTTCTTAGCTTAACTAATCTATTTATGAAGGTGGTTAACATGATCTACTTGTAGCTTTACCGGATATTACACGTTTTCTTGGAATGTGTCATACTGAAGCTTTATAGCTAGATAAAATTATCTTTCAATTTACTTCCTCCGTCCATAAATAAAAGAAAAGTTATGTGAAATTTAGGTAGTACTCTTTTCGAATGTTTATAAGTAAAAGATGTCATTATGAGATAAAACAACATTTTTTAATTAACTCTCAACTAAGGATGAAAGGATAGTGATCCCATTTTCGGAGATAATTGTGCAAGTTCCACCTTTCTTGTTACTTGTTTTTGCTGAAATAATGAAGGTAGTTAATCTACTTGTAGCTTTTCCTGTAAGGAGTATTACACTTATTCTCGGATCGGAATGTATCAATATCATACTGAAGCATTAAAGCTAGATAAAATGATCTTTTACTTCCTCCGTCCATAAATAAAAGTTGTGCAATATGGCTAATGTTTAGGTAGTAGTCGTAGCACAGAGTCTGCATATAAGAGTTTTTTTAACTAATTGCCATTTCAAATGAAGGAATATTAATTTATAAACTCTCAACCAAGGATGAAAAAATAGTGTGATCATATGGACAAAAATGTACAAGTTCCAACTTTTTTTTGGGGATTTCTTAAGCTTTTGTATCTGTGCTTGATTTGTCCTTTAGGTATAGACATAGTTTGAATTACTTCCCAAACATGAACATAGGTCGAATCTTTTCAACGGGTAGAAATCGGGCTTTTGATATAAAATACTTCGTGTATGTATACATATTGTATAATTTTGTTAAGGTTTTTATAACTAGTTGAGGTCATTTACATTACGCACATGCGGCTGGTTAAGGAGTTTCTATTAGACTATTAGATGTATATTCCAAATAAGGATTATTAGTGAGTCTAATCTCTTAAAAAAATAAAATAAGTTGGGGCCAATTTCAATAGAAAAAACCGAAATTGGATTGTCATCATAATTAATTAGAATGGGTGGTTTTCATGATTAGTACATTATTAATGGGTGATAGTGGCATGTTAAGTAGTAATTCTGAAGCCCCAAAGAGCAACATTAGAAGTGGTAGAGATTTTATGTCCATCACTAATAATAGTGGCATGTCAAAACCAATTTCTGCCTTTTCATGATTGATTTTTAGCAGGCTCTCAACTACTCGTACTATTTTACATTTGCTGTACAAATATAATTGCAGTACACTTTCATTAATAAATAAAGTTTGACAGTTAGGAAGCATTTTATGTAGAAATTAACCTTACAGGCTATCAATCCTTAATTGTTTCAGATATAAATGGATATCAGTAATCTTGTACAACTGAAAGTCAACTGTCAAAAAACTTCTGGATTTAATAGATGAACAATTTGGTTGTCAGAAAATAATTTAATAAAATTTGGATGAACAAGAGGTCAAGAGACAAGAGCTGGTGAGTGTTGATAATATGTAAACAGTGTTTTAGGAAATTTAGTTTAGTTGTAACAAATTTATCATACTCAATATTCTATTGCAAGGAGTTATGCATGAGTGTCAATATGTTTCTTAGTCCTTGTTAGTTATTACTATTACAATATGTCCCTTGGCTCCTCCTTTGGCCTCTTAGCTTCTTATAGTGAAGCATTGTTTTGTTTTGTTTTTTTTTTCTTTTTTATTTTCTTATGTTTGGTTCTAACTATTGGTGAAACGCCTAAAACAGAGGGACTTTTAGCTGCGTCTAAAACCTGTTAGAAGTGTCTCGTGTTAGACATTTGTTTGGCTAGACTTTTATGTCCTGACCAACATGGTTTGTGTACCACCATTTGTATTGTTTAACGACTAGAAATTGTGTTCAGCCTAGATTTTATACTATTGATGTGTTTAGTTGATATATGTTTACTAAGACGTACTTATCATAATTAATATTTATCTTTGAGATGCCAATTTGCATCCAAAAAAAAAAAGGAAAATAAAATTTTTCACTTTTTAAATGTGAATTAGAGTACCCCATACGTTAATTTCATGCCGCACCTATTCTTACTCCTTTTGATCAAGTTTTATTAAAGTTGTGAAACATGCCCCGTACTTCTCCATCTGTCAAAGAAAAAATGATAGTCCAAAATCTTATAAAAATGTAATCTTGTGATAATGTTCCATGATTGTGTCTTACGCATTATTGGTTAAAAGCTTGACAAATAAAAGACATGATAGAAATTGTAGTAAACACCACCAATTAATAAATATTAACACGTCAAGTATCATAAACCTTACTTTGTAACCATGCAACCAACATTTGCCACACTTCACTTCTATTTCATCTTCTACATTACACCTACAATACAATACTAGGAAAATTTAATACAAGTACGATGTATAATTACGCAACAACCCGGAATCGGCTATGTAAATCAAAAGTTTATTTCTTTTAGTCATGATACTTTATTTTTCATTTCTTAAAAATAGTGCGTGGACATTTATATCCCTAAACATATTTGTTTACTTATTTTCTCATTTATTTATGTATTGTCAACAACTAAATTTGTAATTTAAGACTAAATCAAAAGAGTTACGAATATGGTTAACAATGGCTCGCTCATCGAGCTTGTTAGTTGGCCCGGCCTAGTAATAATAATAATTTCTATATAAGGACATTAGAAGGTGTAGAATCAGCCCACTATCTTTGTCTCTACGTAGACTATAGGCTATATTAGAATAGAATGCCTGATTCACCCCACTATGAATCTAGTACGTACTTTGTATTATTCATCTTCCACCGACACTATAAGCCAAAATTTCAACATGACTTTCATGAGGGTTCATCTCTTATTTTAGTACCTGCCCTGGGTTGTTGATCACGTAAATAGCTGACCATAATCTTATTATGGATTTCACGTAAATAGCTGACCATAATCTTATCAATTTAATATGGATTTGTCCGTTGCTGCTTACTTTTTTATCTTCTTTGTTTTCATATTGGACATGTTCTCGTTATTTGAATTTAGTAGTCACGTTGATGATATATATATCGTAAATAATGACTACTTTCATTAATTTAAGACGTCTTAAGAAAAGTTCTCTTCATACACTTTAATGGTTTGTAATTGATTTTTCTAAATTTCCTTACCAAGAACATCATAGAGGCTATTTGAATGATTACATTATACGATTATTACATAAACTCCAACTTATTTTCCCGTGTTCGGTCAAAGACTGGCCTTCTTAGAGTCATAGATCAGCTAATCAACATAATTGAGAGGGAATAAAGCTTAATTAATACGCCCTAATATAGTGTTGCTAGCTTGTTACACGTTGGCTAATTTTGTAATAACAGCCTTAATGTGGTCTTAGAGTAAAATAATAAGGGGTACTGGCTAATAAGATATGGTTCATATGGAATATTACATGCAAACTCTGGAAATCGACAAATGTACAGAACAAGGCAGGGGAACAATTTCAGACCACTAAACTAAAGAAAGTGAGTTAAATATTCAACAACTCATATTAGTATAATACTACGTCGTATTAACTGTATTATACATTTGCCTAATTTTCTGTTTACAATTGGACATTTTTCTGTGTGGCAGCATCCTATGCTGCATTATTCATGTGCCACCTTATGACCATCAAGTTTAGACCATTAGAGGTGTCCTTTCTTATTCATATGAATAGTATTGAAAAAGTTGAATTTGATTACTAAAGAGAAACATGAGGCATATTTAGTGATTAGAACTGTATTGGACTTATTCCAACCTTGCCTGATTGTTTCTCTCACCACATGCCTCCTCTGTCCCTAATTGTTTGCGTCCATAAGAAATGAAGATAAAAATCTATTTTGTGGTTTTATCTCATACCTGTACATACTGCTCATACATAAAAAAAAGACGGATAAATCTTTAAATACTGGAGGGAATTTTGTATACAAGCTCTCACATTAAAATTGATTTTGGCACACTTTTTATACGAGCTCTCGCATAGATTTGTGCCTAAATCAATTAGTGATGTGCTAAACTGAGAATAGTACTCTGCGTTAGTAGCTGGGAATTAGGGCCAGCAGACCCACCCATGAGGCCATTACACTGCGAATATTCAGAGGATACTGTTGATTGTTCTGGTACTAGTCAAATCCTTTTATATTTGACACCAATTAAGGCCCGTGACCCATATTACCAAACTTCCACGTTTGAATAGTTAGCTAAATTGGGTTACTACATTATTAACTAAAAATAGTCAAAAATCACAAATGGGCTCCACAATTTAAAAGTCATAATGGACAGGTTTGTTCCTTAGTCCATTAGCACAATCGCCACAATGGGTTGCTGTAGCCTATTGTGAAAACTAACTATGGTCCAATATATTGTCTGGGCTCTTGGCCTGTTTATTGATGTATCAGCCCGTTCACCGTATAACCGGGTCCATATGATTAACAAGTTGGTCAAGCTCATTAAGGACCTGGCATGATTGTTGACTGGTGAGGGTGTTTGACTGTTTGGTGTATGTAAATTGAGGATGTAACATAACCTATGTTTGTTACTTTTATGATCATAGGATTATAGAATAAACTGGATCTGTTTCTGCTATTTTAATAATATGTACTCGTAGTATATATGGATGATGGGAATTTTTTTTTTTTTTTTTTTTGCTGCTTGCTGCAAATGATGGGAATTGTTTGATATGGGTTGACAACATATTTTGCCATTAATGAAAGGAATGTCGGAATAAATATTACCAAATATTAAGTATCAAAGATGAGTAACTATTATCCCTTGCATTTACAAAGCTAGGGTGCATCCCTATTTTTTTTGGTATTTTGATAATTGCTCCGTATACTTGTTTTATATGTCATACATCTATTCTCATTTCTCACGTATTATATGACCTAATATTTGGTATTTTCTAAATTGCTATCTATGGAGTATTGTATATTTGTATGAGCTGAAAAAAGATTTTAAAAAAATATTACTACGTATGTAAAATAAAAATTAAAAAAAAAAATTACAGCCACAGTAAAACAACTATAGGAAAGGACATTTAGAGCCGTTGGTAAAATAGTAACTTGGGTAAAAGGACTACAGAAATGGACAGAAGGAAAATGACAGGGGAGAACCAAAAACGGTTGGCCCATTCTATGCATTACTCTACATATTTCAATGCTCACTTCTTCACACTTTCACAAAGCCTTGACCAAGGCCAACACTACACTACTCAAGATTCTCACACACACTTAGTGAGTGAGAGTAAATGCATCATAGCACCTCAACAATGGTGTTCAAAATGGCATGCCAATTCCTCACTTTCTCTCTCCTCTTCCTCTGTTTTACTGGTAAATTTTCTTGCTTTCCTCTCAATTTCTTACAATTTTATGTTCTTTTCATGCACTTTATGTTTTTTTTTTCTTTTGGTTTTTTCTGCAGTTGCAACCATAACTTCTGCTGAAATCCTGACAGTCCACTCAGACCTCAGTACTGCTGCTTCTGCTGCAACTTCCATGGCTGTTTCAGTCCACAACCAAGACCTCACTGAGGTTTCTAACAGTGTTTTAATGGCGGAAACTTGGCTCAGAAACCATGTCCTGCAATTTTACCCTGCTTATAACATTACCCACATTGTTGTTGGACATAATCTCCTCTGTTCTTCCAAAACCCAGCAACAAAATCACCATCTTTTTTTACCTGCTCTCAAAAATCTTCACCATTCTCTCACTAGATGGGGTTTACACTTAGAAATTAAGGTTTCCCCTTCTTTTTCTTCTCATTGTCTGGAACTACCCTCTGATTCTGCTTTCTCTCTCCTCCAACCTCTTCTACAGTTTATCCATTCCACTAATTCTTCTTATATGATTAACCCATCTTCTGATGAAACCCCAATTTTTTACCCAAAGTTTGAATCTTTAGCTTTATCCCACTTGAAATCTTTGAAAAAGTTTGGATTTTTAAACTCAGAAGACCTCAATTTTATGGTGGTTTCTAACAACCAAACTCAAATTTTCAACCCTACAATGAGAAAATTGACATACATTCTTCCAACTCCATCACCAGATGAACTACCCACTGCCAGAGGACCAGGTTCACTTCCTCCTCTAGTTGGAGTTGGGCCTACAATCTCCCAACCAAGCCCAATCCCTGGTACCCCACATTTTGGGCTTAGCCCAACCCAATCCCTAACCCCTCCACCTCACCCCCACCACCACCACCACTACATACCACCCTGCTACCCAGCACCACCGCAGGCGGAAGCACCACCAGCACCGCCTCAGGCTTCGGCGCCATCTCCGGCTTTCGAGCCGAGAGAGAAACTGTGGTGTGTAGCAAAGCCAAGTGTTCCTGCAGAGACATTGCAGGAAGCAATGGATTATGCTTGTGGTGAAGGTGGAGCAGAATGTGATGAAATTCAACCAAATGGGAATTGTTATTTTCCTGATTCTCTTGTTTCTCATGCTTCTTATGCTTTCAATAGTTATTGGCAGAAGAACAAGATTAATGGTGGTACTTGTGACTTTGGTGGCACTGCCATGCTCATCAATTCTGATCCTAGTATGTTCGAGTTTTTTTATTTATCAAAGTATTACATTAGTTTCTTTTAATCTTTATGATGTTAACTTTAAATTATTTTGTTTCTTCTTTTTGCAGGTTTTCTTCAGTGTAAGTTTATTATGGTGTGATTTCAAGGAGCTTTATTGGTATGTCAGTGAAATATGAATGCCAAAGATGAACAGTTCTAATGATGGTAGCATTATCATGATTATTATAGTTTTAAGTAGAAAGTATGGGTTAATTTATATCGATTAGGGTAGGAATTAGGATTAAGAAGGGGCCTTTTTTTGGTTAATTTGAAGGTTACTAAAGCTTTGTACTTTAGCAATGTTAAATTAAATGTATGGCGCTTGATGGACAAAAACTTTAGTGCCCTTTGATTTGTATGGGAACAAAAGGAGAATTAAGAGTATCTAATTATATAGTATCTGCGTATCTAATTATATAGAGTATCTATTTGCTATACTTTTTGGCTCTTTGTTGTTTATTGTTCTTAATTATGGGGTTTGTGTCGTTGGAATTAGGAAGCATTCACCTGAAAGGTTCCTTGAATCCAGAGTATCCAAGACTAATGTATAATGAAAAAGGTAAAGTTGATTGGAAGACACCACCCAAAAAAAAAATGGAAAAAAAAGGATTGCGGGAAGCTTTCTCTAATTTATCAGAGCCAGGTTTCGATCCTGGGACCTGTGGGTTATGGGCCCACCACGCTTCCGCTGCGCCACTCTGATATATTTTAATCAACTTGAAATTAAAATATTTGTAGATCATATAAACGCCCATTGGTATGATAATCAACTTCATTACGGAGTACTATAATCTATGTGATACGGAGTTCGGAATTTAAAATTGCTGCATAAAGCTTATGATTTCCACAAATTTATATTTTAGGGTTTTTTTTTATACTCTGTACTATTTAATTTAGATGATGGGATTCACATCAACTTTACAACTTTAGGCTCAATCATGTAGATATAGAGCTGTCAAAAGTTGACCTAATCTGAAATACCGACTCAAATCGGATTATTAAACGAACCATCTGAACCTGAAAAAATGGTGACCAAAATCGGACCTAAAACCAACCCTAAACCCGAGTATGTGAGACCCAAACCCGAATATGAACTTACTTGGAGATGACCCGACCCGAATGTAACTCGTAAATTATTGACTTGAACCGAACCTGACTTGAACCGAAATAGACCCAAACCCGTTTTAACCCGTCAAAACCCAAATTTAACCCGACTTGTTACTAACCTGACCTGAATTCAACCCGACCCGTACCTAACCCGACCCGAATTTAACCCAACCTGTTACAAACCCGACCCGAAATCAATTCGACTTGTTATTAACCTGACCCAAATTCAACCTAACTTGTTATTGACCCGACCCGAATTTTACCAGACCTATTACTAACCCGATCAAAAAATTCAACCCGATCTGTTACTAACCAGACTCTATTTCAAATCACCTTAAATGCAATTTAGACCACTTTATTATTGTTGATCAAAGCATTTTGTCTAGGGAGACCAAGTCGGTCCAAGCAAGCAAAAGAAAAGAGCATCATCTTTAAATTTAAAATTTAAATATAGTATACATATTTGTTGTATGATCAAAGGAGATAATTATCTTCCAAAATTATAGACTATAATTCCCTAGTATATTGTCATATATATTATAGTCAAAGGAAATAATTGGCTTGGTAAAAATGATAATTATCTATTTATAGTTAGTTGGACCCGAATATGACCTGACTTGGAAATAACCCGACCTGATTGTAACCTGCAAAATATTGACTTGAACATAACCCGACTTGGATCCGAGAATGAAAAGACTTGGAAATGACCCAACGTGATTATAACCCGCAAATTATTGACTTGAACCGAACCCGACTTGAACCTGAGAAAGACCCGACCTGATTATAACCCACAAATTATTGACTTGAATCGAACCCGACTCAAACCCGAGAATGACCTGACCAGATTCTAACCCGTAAATTATTGACTTGAACCAAACCCAACTCGAACCCGAAAATTACCCTTACTCGTGAAAACCCGAATTTGAACCGACCTATTATTCACCCGACCCGAATGTAACCCGACCTGTTATTAACCCGAGCCAAACCCGATAAGAAGTATGACCCGACCTGACAAGCATGATCCAACCCAAACCTGACCGGCATAGGTTATGGAATTAATTCGAATTGACCCGACCCACTTTTACCGACCTAAAGTTGACCCTTTTACCCGAATTGAAAGCTCTACCCCAAAGCTCCAAATTTTTTCAAAAACTGAGGATTTTAGCCTTCAATTTTGGAATTTTTTGACTTTTTTTCGTTCGAAAATAAAAATTGCCAAAATGTTTACTATGGTCCCTAATACTTTCCGGAATTCCATTTGGTTGGGTGGAACTAGGGATGGCAGTGGATCTGGACTCGACCCGGATCCGTGGATCCAGTTCCGTTTTTCACGGGTCCTCAAATTTTAGACCCGACGGATCCGGGTCGGATTCGGGTCCTGCTTGAAAAAACGGATCTGGGTCCGGGTCTAACTTTCAGACCCGGATCCGTGGATCCGTTTTAAAATTTTAATTTTTAAAAAAATAATAAAAATTTTAATACAAAACTCACAAGTCTCACAACTTTCGGCCCATATCAATTCAGAAACAAAAATCAAAACTATTTACAAACCCTAACTTTCTCTCTCTAGTTTCCATTATCCACTACCACTACTCAGCCTACTCTCTAATGTCCACCGACCAACGGACTCCCAGTCATATCGCCGGCAAACAAAACGGCATCAAAGACCTCGCCCAGATCTGTAAGTCGTACAACCCGTACTCCCTTCTCTTTTATTTATTTATTTATTTATTTTTTTTGTTTACTTTTTATGAACAAATAAATTAAGGTAGTAGTTCATATTATCTTTGATGTTTCTGTTCAAGTTTGCATGCACTTGATTTGATGGGTTTAGTTTTAGCAATTTTGTGGGTTTATTTGATTTCGTGGGTTTATTTCGTGGATTTGGTGGGTGCATTTGATTTGATGGGTATTTTTGGTGGGTTTGCTGCAAATTCGTGGGATTATTTTTACTTGTTATTTGTACATGTTTTTGCTACCATCTTGTTTGTTTAATTGTATATTTGTATGTATTTATGCTTGCAATATGTGTAATTTATGTAATATTTGTGTATTTGTTTGATTTATTTGTAAGGTCCAACTGTGAGTTTAGTTTTTGCCAATTACTAATTCTTTTCTTTCTTTTGTTTTGTTTCTTTGTTTTAGGATGTTGATGATATTATTAGTGATGAAGATTAGTCCTTTCGGAATATGGATATTGGATGCTCAAATCGGATACATCTGTTATTTTTTTGTTTGTTTGGTCATTTGTAACATCGTACTTTTTTTTATGTTAGGATTTTTTTTTTCAAAGACAATATGTGTGTTACACTGTATTTTTAGTTGTATAACTCTAATTTATGCATTAAACTTGGTTGAAATGCGTTTTTATTACATTTGTTTGAAAACATTAGGCAAAACGTGCAAGACCCGTTTCGGACCCGGATTTGGACCCGGATCCGTTGGATCCGTCGGATCTGGATCTGGGTCCTCATTTTATGGGCCCGACGGATCCGGGGCGGATCTGGATCCAAGGCTGAAAAACGGATCTGGATCCGGGTCCATTCAGACCCGGTCCAGATCCGACCCATTGCCATCCCTAAGTGGAACCATCCAATTCGTCTTTAAACGGTCAATTTACCAGTTTACAACTTGTACCGATTTCATCAACTCAAGCCTACCACGAACACTTTTGACAACAATTTATGATCATATATGGTTCCAAATGACATTATATGATCTCGAGATGCATTCCCGAAAATTTCAAGACTTTTTAACACCAGGCCTCAAAACCTTCAATATTTCTCAAAAAGCGTGGATATAAGACTTCAATTTTGGAATTTTTAGACGTTTTTTCGCTCGAAAATAAAAATTGACGAAATGTTTACCATGGTCCCTAATACACTTCGGGAGTCCAATTAGGTGGGTGGAACCATCCAATTTGACTTTAAACGACCAATATACTTATTTACAACTTGCAATGATTTCATTAACTTAAGCCTACCACGGACATTTATGACAACATATAATGATCATATATGTTTCCTAACGGCATTATATGACCCCGAGATTTATCCCCTATAATTTCAAGATTTTTTGACACTGAGCCCCAAAACCTCTAAAATTTCGCAAAATGCGTGGATATTAGACTTTAATTTTGGAATTTTTTGACATTTTTTCGCCCGAAAATAAAAATTGTTGTAATGTTTATAATGTTCCCTTGTACCCTCCGGGAGTCCACCTGATTAGGTTTAACCATCCAATTTGCCTTTAAACAACCGGGTTACCGGTTTACAACTTGCACCGATTTCATTAACTCAAGCCTACAACGAATATTTATAACAACAAATAATGATTACATATGGTTTCAAACGACATTGTACAACTCCGAAATGTATTCCCTTGAATTTGAAGACTTTTGGACATCGGGTCCCGAAGACTCCAAAATTTTTCAACAATGTGGATATTAGCCTTTAGTTTTTGAATTTTTTTTACTTTTTTCGCCCAGAACAAAAATTGCCGAAATGTTTATCATGGTCCCTAATACCCTCCGGGAGTCCAATTGGTGGGTGGAACCTTCCAATTTGCTTTTAAAAGACCAATTTACTGGTTTATAACTTGCACCGATTTACCGGTTTACAACGACCAATTTAACTAACTTGCACCGAACCCGACTTGAACCGAAATTGACCCAAAATTGTCAAATCGAATTTAACCCAACTTGTTACTAACCTGACCTGAATTCAACCCGACCTGTTCCTAACCCGTCCCGAATTTAACCCAACCTGTTACAAACCTGACCCGAAATCAATTCGACTTGTTATTGACCTGACCCAAATTAAATCCAACTTGTTATTGACCCATCCCGAATTTTACCAGACCTATTACTTAACCGACCAAAAAATTCTATTCAATCTGTTACTAACTCGACTCGAAATTAACACGACTTGTTATTGACCTGACCTAAATTCAACCCAAATTATTCCTGAACCGATTTCAAATCACCTTAAATTCAATTTAGACCACCTTATTATTGTTGATTAAAGTATTTTGTCTAGGGAGACCAAATCGTTCCAGACCAGTAAAAGAAAGGAGTATTATCCTCAAATTTAAGAGTTAAATATAATATATATTTGTTGTATTGTCAAAGGAGATAATTATGTTCATAAATTATAGACAATAGTTTCCTAGTATATTGCCATATATATTATAGTCAAAGGAAATAATTAGCTTGATAAAAATGATAATTATCTATTTATATTTAGTTGAACCCGAATATGACCTGACTTGGAAATTACTCGACCTTATTGTAATCTGCAAATTATTGACTTGAACATAAACGACTTGAATCCGAGAATGACCCGACTTGGAAATGACCCAACTTGATTATAATCCGCAAATTATTGGCTTGACCAAACCCGACTCAAACCCGACAATGACCTGATCTGATTCTAACCCGCAAATTATTGACTTGAACCGAACCTGATTCAAACCCGAGAGTTGCCCTAACCTGTTTTAACCTGTGAAAACCCGAATTAAACCCGACCTATTTTTCACCCAACCTGAATGTGACTCAACCTGTTATTAACCCGACCTAAACCCGACAACAAATATGACCCGACGTGACCCGACTCAAGCATGACCCATCCCAAACCCGACCCGCATAGATTGTGGAATTAATCCGAATTGACCCGAACCAAACCTAACCCGTTTACCCGAATTGACAGCTCTATGTACATATATAAGAGCCACATAGGATATGAAGACAGCCAAAGATTGTTAAATTTCACTTCAATGTGCCAGCAACTACCACCTCTGAACTTGAAAGTGGTAAAGATAATGAAACATCGGCAAACATACTACTCATGTGACTAGTAGTCGGTATAATAGGTAAAGAGAAACCATGCCGTCTAAAAGACAATCTGTTGCAAACCATACGAAGCGATTTGGCATAACGTCCGGAGTACCTAACCTAGGAAGTCCCTCCATTGATGGGAAACAGTACTTCCAACAACAACGTTGCACTTCTTGTCATCTTGTGCTATTGCTAAACAAACTGCATATATTTCTACTTATAAAGTAACAATTTAACATTCCTTAAAAAAAAAGGTAACTATTTAACTTTAATATGGATCACAAATCAAATCGATGTTAGGACATTAGAAGCTAAAAGTTTAAATTTTACAGACAATGAATAAATCTCTCCTATAGTACCTGTTGAGTTCCGTGACTTCACAAGGAGTTAGTATGCACCTACGCCTATACAGGAAGCAAAGGGATTTTTTTTAATTAATTTATTTATTTTTTTTGTTGGGGGGGGGGGGGGAGGGGTTGGGGTTCTCTAAAATATCCAGTTGATGGTAATGTTGCCAAGCCACAAGAAGAGCGGAAACTGAGCTAATGTAATAAAGAGCAAAAGAACATGATGCTTGCCTGAGTTGTGACTCCTCACCTCTGCATACAAAACTCTCTTCATCGTCTTCACTAAGAAGATTCCCATGCTAAGGCAGCTCAGGAGTAACACTATATAATAAGAATGTCTCCAGAATAGTTTCCCAAAAAGCGCCAGAGATATACCCGTAAATGCATAACCAGCGTATGCCACAATATCTAACAATGGTGTTTCCCCAATGCTGAGTGACATTAATGACACTTTGAGACCTACAACCTGAAAAATCCAGCCTACCAATCCTTTCATAAGCAGCCAATTCACCGTCTCTGGGTTAAACCTGGAAGATTTGGAAAAACAATTCTTCAGAAAAGTCTTCTACAAAAGAGTACAGTTACAGAGAACAGCAGTTTTACCAGTTAAATTATCAACATGTGTATAAACTAAACACAGGCCTGAGGCCTCCATTACAATCAAGATATATGTCAGTCAACTCAACAAGTATATAAGAAAACTAGTCTCACACTCTCACTCACAGTTTATAAGATACCTCCAGCCCACGTTCCGAAGCTATAACTTCTACAAGAGATGTTATAAATACAAGCACTCTCCTTGTTCCCCCTTTCATCAACCTGGAAGGCTAGGTCACTAATGACCTAACTAGTTGGGTTGTTACTTGCCAGGAAGTCATACAATCTTAAGGTGAAAACAATCTCAATACACTGATTCAAAATGAAAACTTCCAGATACTTTCTGAACTTTGGTACATAAAATATATAAAGAATCAATATGTTGGCCATCTCAAGTTGTTCCCAGAAGTACCATATCAGAAATGAACCAATTTTTCTTCTTTAATAGGAAGGATTTGTGCTTCTATGCACAGGAGAAGGGACCAGCCAACACATAGAACTCCCACCTCACAGAATCCGCAATAACCCCCATCTTACATCATATGATTCGATTTGATTGTGGATCCCAAACAATCATATCATATTCAATTATTTTGAAACATCAATAACCAATTATATCATATCCAATGCTTTTACAGCAATTATACCGCATTAAGTAGGAGTCAAAACCTGGAATAGCAAACAACCATTGATCCAAAGCAAACTAAGTACTTACTTTCCACTCAGTCCCAGGGAAAAACCAGCAAGCACAACGTAGGAAAGAAAGGCCATCATAGGAATGTACAGATCTGGTGCGTTAATGTCATAGATTGGGGGTTTGTAGGAAATTTTGCCTGCCAAAGGCTCAGTTATCCTTGTCCAGTGTCCCTACAGCAAAAAAGAGATTCAAAGAAACATAATATAAACTATATTGCTGGACTAGAATTCCACAAGACAAAATTAAAAAAAAAAATAAATAAATAAAAATGTGAGGAATGCTTACCCGATGCAGAAAAGGAGCCAGAACAATCTTTAACTTGTTCCTCACATAGTCATCATTCACTTGGAAATAATATTGGGGGTCAGCAAAATACCTACTTATCTGTGAAATTTCATAATCACGGAGAATAAAAATTCTTTAATTTTAGTGCCACAAAATCAACTCATAAAAAAAGGACTACTACAATGTATTAGGGATGAGCCACGAGCCACCAAAATGAATATGGCACTATGAATTACTAGTCATTAGGCAGCACATGTAAGAAAGAAATCAAAGCTGAGTAAAACGATAGTTGACAAACCCATAAACTTGTACTTGCTTCCTTCAATTTAATCTTAAAAACAATAATGTCAGGAACTACTTAGATTGCCTAAACCAAGAGAATTTAGAATTCTGTTTCTGTAGCCAACGATTTTTAAGAAATTTGGATGCCAAATTATTACAATTAAAAAATCACGTACATTTATAGGAAGTAGAAAAATTCTAATAAGGATGGTAATATCCATTTCAAGCACAGCAGATCTATAAGATGACAGAATATTGGTATAGGGTACTTACATTGCTTTGCACATACTCAGAACTCGAACCGAATATTTTCTCCCCGTATGCACTCAATCCGCTACTAATCAACCCAGAAGTTGCCCCAGAGAATGCATTACCAAATGGAATAGCTTGAGGAAAAGAAGTTTCTTGACCCCCAGGCTGAGCTCCCACATTATTGTACATATTGATTATCTGGAATATTTTTGGCCAAAAACCATCATGAATAACATGGACAGTAATGCAAGCAACATATTCCTATTTTCTAAGCCATTCTAACATCAAACTAATTCCTCAAGCGATTAAGCAAATACAACAAAAAAATCAAAAAACGCTCCTCACTGAAATGTATTTTACTATGCAATCTCGTAAGTAACTATCTAATTCGATGTGTTATCAGTCTCCTAATAAATGTATTGTCCTTCGTCAATAGCAATACAAGGAGTGTTACTCGAGTTTCGAGCATCACTCCAACAACTAAATCAATTTGAAACCCTTTAAAAGACACTAATCAAGCAAAGTAGACTTAAAGAACTTAGATAAACCAACCCCATGTTCAATCTAACTAATCCAGGTGACTGCCAATTGCAAATATTTATCAAACAACAAACGATCACCTAAATTTATACATTACATTAGTGGCGGATCCAGAAATTTGGACGTAAATACAAGATCAATATGAACATATACAAAATGCAGAGTCCAAAATCATAGTAAAATCAACAATTTGAATTACAAACAAATTTCTTCATATACAACATCCAAACATTTCAGCATTTATAACAACAATCCTATATAATACGGAGCATTGGTAATTCGATGATTATTAAACCCTAATATAATTACATTCAGTAGCCGAAATTAACAGCACCCATTAAGTTGAATTGTTGAAACTTAACACAATTACACGTGATAACCCACATTCAAAACCAAGACAATCCAAATGTGAGTGAAATTCAATACTAGTTGCACATATTTATACAATTAGACGTGATAACCTCTTTTTTTTTTTTTAGCAATCAATCAAGATCCCAACTCATGAATTCAAATAGAAAAAGCAATGAAATAGATTTTAGGTTGCAGAAAATAAAAATGTAAGCTTTACCTAAATGAAGAGGAATCCCAGAAACCTGGAATTTCCGGCGGGGGAAGCGGCGGTCGGCTAGCAGCATGTAAGAGAGATGGAGAGTCGGGCGAAGGTGAGGCCGGAATGTCAAGGAAGAACCATTATTTCCTTTTTAAAATAAATAAATTAATTAAAAATAGTAATACTAGTATTTTCTCTGTTCTTTTTTACTTGACCTGTTTCTTTTATCACGCTTGTCAATACACAAGTTTGGGCTAATCCGGATTTCGGGATCAGTTCTGGGTGGTTAGGTTCCAGTCCCCTCCCAAATGTTGTTGCGGGGGATCGAACACAGGTCCTCCCTACCAAGTGTAGTCCCAATCACCACTACACTAATACCCAATTGGTTATAAAAGTTATATATTGTGATAGTACTTATTTAGACGATTCTAACAAGATTCTACATGAATATGTATTTCTTTACCTATAATTCACAAAAAACGGTCAAAGGTGGGTTGGTGAATAGTGTAAAAGTCAAATCGGGTCAAGTAAAAAAGAACGGAGGAAGTATTAATTACTGTATTTAATTTTAATATTTTTGGTCAAGAGTCATATCAAGAATTACCACATGCCAAGAGGCCCAACCCATATAAGCTTAGCAAATATGGGCCTTGTGATCTTCTTACTGGATTTCATGGGCCACTAGCCTATTAAGGTCTTTTTTTTTCCTTCCTTTTTTAAAGAGATAGAGAATGAGTGAACTAGATTGCACGAGAACGGGTACTAACACGGATGCGAGTACGAAACAAATACGGGAAAACGACAATCTAAAAATAAGGGACATGGGTATAGGATGTTAAAACTCATACATGACTGACCTACATTTAGAATCATTAATGCAAACGTTACAAAATTATCAAATAAATCAGCGTAAAGTACTTGTCTAATTGATTTCGTTTTCCACTCTAGTTCTATCATTCAGTCCTTTTATTATATCACACTGTATCATATTAACAATATCGTAATGTTCTTTTAAGTCGCATATAACAATGAGCTATATTTATGAAGGCACTCCTATTGTGTAACTATTACCTAATCTATCGTACTTAAATTTCTCATTTTATCCTTCAAAAAAAACTCATAGTGTAGAACACGGTCCAAGACGTAAAGACGTATTATCATATGTCCAACGAGTATGAGTGTCTGACACAATATCTGACATGAACACCATAGTTGGATGAACTCTCCATGCATCTTGGTGAGTGAACGAGGGTGTCAGCCGTGGAACCTTAACTATCTCTTTGAAGAGGAAACAAGTTTCCAGAGAGTTGTAGTTAGATTTGAAAAGTAGTTGTACATGTCCCTTCAAAATGGCAAAGCTGGCCCATTTCCTATACAATCAGACCTAACTTTAGCTTAGCTTCCCTACTTTCCACTTCCTTGCCTTTCAACACTTATTTCACACTTCAAATATAGACGTGGATGTTTTTGTAACATAATAAAGTTCATTGTACTGCATTCAACTTGGTTGTCATTGGATCCGGAATACTTCAATTTCTTGGTCGCTCAAAATTATTATTTATAAGGATAAATGATATAGGCGAGATATAATTTCAGGTCTTGAATGTCATTCCTTAAAATTTAAACTAATAAAACTTATTGATTATTCACAAACAAAGTGATACATATTGGATATCCACACTAATTATACTCTAGACTTCTTGTTTTTTTTGTTTCTTTTTTTCGGTTGTTGTTGTTGTTTATAGAGACAATAGGACGGGTGATGAGAATCAATCCCATGATCTCCTGAAATCGGAATGGAAGATCTAACCACCTAAGTAGTTCCTCACTCTCGTACTCTAGACTTCCTAATAGCATCTAAAGAATGTATTGATAACGTATTATTTTATTTTGATGGGCACTTATCAAGTACTTGTGACATAAAATCTTTGCTAATCTTTGGCAATAGCATACAATTTTGTGAATGAATGATTGGAGAGGAGACCGTATCTTCTTCCTATCATTTTGGAAAATTTTACCATACTTTGCTAAAATATATTTTTATTATAAGGAATGAATAAAGATACCCCATATAAATAAAGGCAAGCAAAATTAAAGTGAAAAAAAGGTCATGCTGTCGGGAGTTTCCAACAATAAGCCAAACGAAATATGGAACAACCACCTTCTACCGTTGGACATTGTTTTTGACTTCTTCCTTTACTCATTTTTATTCCCTCATTCATCAAAACATTCATTATCTAGTTATTTTCCACATTATATCTTAGAAGAAATATAATTTCAAGTATTGCAAGATCAAGTATATATTATATATATTGTTGGTAGGTTGATAAATTGTTAAATATGTGTCCATCTAATTCTATGAAAAAAATAAAATAAAAAATAAAAATAAAATAAAATTACAAAATATTATCGTCCTCTATATTGGATAAATAATTTGACTTCTTTAGAAAAATAGAGATGGTTAATATTGGATTTTTGTTTGTCACATGACATGCATGCGTAAAATTAAATGGTTTCTAAGATGCGGGTCAGATTACGCACTTGTAAATTATGTTGTAAGGTCACATAGAAGCCATACAACAACATCAATGCACATAATGTATTTAATTGAAGTATATATGATATGCGATTAGTATTAGTCAAGGTTATGTTAATATCTTCAATTCAAATTACTTTGATCAAACAAAAAGGTTGAATGCTAATAAATGCAATGATGGGATTTTCGTGCTGTTAATTGGGTAGGAAGAAGAATGGGAGCATCTCATGTGAACTTTGATACGAGTATAAGAAAAAGATTTGATTGAAGGAAATCGAGGAGATTACTATAATAGTTTATAATATTAATTATTACTAGCTTGATGTGGTTATAATTTGTCCATTAGGTAATGAAAAGATATACTTCGTAGCATATAGTTTAATTTGGATTACGTATAATATTATTTAGATTTGGACGAGTCAAATTAAGATATGTGAACATCAAAACCAACCGGCCATGCATGTTTCTCTTTCAATTAGATGAAGGCAATCTTATATATTGATTTTGTAATTGCGCCCACATTAGTAAAACACCAAAGATTTGTGGATGCTAGTTGCTTGTCTTGGACGTCAAGTGTCATTTAGTTTTTGTATCATTGTGTGTCATTCAATTAGAAAGGCCTAAATAATGTCTAAAGGGGCCGATGAGATATATTTTTGAGATCGTATTGTATGCAAGAATTAAGGTATATAAGTTTCAATGATTAAGTAGATGTCTGATACAAAATCATAATATGTTGTTAAATTTAACTCAAATAGAGTTTATAGTATGACTCAAAGTGGATAATAAGATGCGGTATGTTTATATATACTTGTTCGAGTATGACATAAAATATAAAATATATAAGTAATTAAAGTAATGTTTGTTATTAATCATTGATTAACTTGAATCAAGTGGACCACTTTTTAAATTTTTAGGTATAATGCATATATGTTTCAATTCCAAATCTTGGTAACTTTTAATTTACTGGCAAGTAAATTTATATAATTACTAACTAAATCTCCATGTCAAATATTTGTTATTATGTAAGTAATTATTTGATGTCTGGACATTGTCTCCATTTTGCCATAATCACCTTTGACTAATAGATGTGAAACCATTTTTTCTTACTGAAATGGATAGAAACTAGATATGGATGCTGTGTAGGCAACAATATGTAGGCTTGAAATTTTCGTTTTCTAAAACTTAATGTAATATTATTATATATTAAACAAATGAATTTTGCACGTTTTATATGCATGCAAAAGCTTTAGTAAATCATAAATTGTAGAATAGTTGTTCGTAAAAAAAGCTAGCTATTCATCATATTAACACACTTTTATAGAAGAAAAATCAATTATCTAAAAGTAATGTTCTCACTATGAGCTAATTAAATTGTGATGAGTTTAATCCAAAATTGATTTATAAGGAATTAATAGAGTGATGCATTTTAAGGGGATGTCGTTATAGTTTTTTTTTTTTTTTTTTTTTTTTTTTTTTTAAAGGGTTATAGAGTAATTAATTAAATAAGTTTAAGAGATAGATCAGACGTGTAGCATATAATTATATTCAATGTATAAAATGCATGCAAATTTACAAAATAAACCTCTTGATTATGTTTTAATAGAGTACTGAAAATTTTTAATCTTTTTTCTACCTTGTATAATTATTGTAACTTTTGGTACATCTTAATTGAGTATGCATACATTATACTTAATCATGTCATTTAGTCATAGTAAGATTTTACTTTTTAGGTACATCTAAAAGATAATCTATTATATTGAGATTAAGCTTGTTTTCCTTTGCCTAAAAGTTTAGATAATTAGCTTAGGTTCATAGCCCATAAAATTTCAATTCAAAGATACACTAAACATAGGTTTAAAGATATTGCAATTAAAGGTTAATATAGTTGAAATAAAAGTGAAGTTTATGCTCTTTTCTAAACTAACTTAATCATTTTAATTTTTTTTTAATTTTTTAATTTATTTATTTTTTTGTAAAAATAATCTTAGATATGTTGAATTGAACACATCCTTCATCCTTTTTAAATCACTTGAGAGTTGTTACAAATTAAATAGAGTAGTAAAAAGTGAAGGAGAAGGATGAATAAATACCAGCAAATGATGAAATGGAGGAAGGTGGTCATTTAAAGGTTTTGTTCAATGGGGAAAGTATGGTGGTAGGCCATGTGACACCTACACAAAGTATTATGGTGTATACCAAAAAAAAGTGTTTTAATAAGTCAATTTATCCTCTATGTTACACCTCTAACCTCTTGTTTAATAGTGAATCAATATTTGGTTAAGGACTCGAAACATTTGTTAGTTTTAAAAGTTATTTCTTAATTAGGTTATTGTCTCACACAAAAAGTCAAGACAAAGACTTCTAAAGACGAATGAAATATACGAAATGTTTAAATAAATTTGAAACGTAATAACTAACAAATCGTGAGTTGCTCGACTTGATTCGAAACTCAAATGAGCACGAGTTAAGCAGGTTTTATTGGCTCGAAATTTTAGCGAGCACAAATTGAGCACATGTAAAAAGTTTTCGACTCGGGTCAACCACTATTCAACTTGTGACCGACTCGCTTGATTAGCACTCCTAATCTGATATATCACTGATGTTGTAAATCAACAACAAAATTAGTCGTTTACTCCAGAGTAATTCCCGCTTATTAAGACTTGAGTACTTGTTTTTCCATCTAACCATTCTCGTTAATTATTCCCGTTTTTCCTTTTAACCACTCCATTAATTATTCCCGTTTTTACTTTCTTCTTAAAAAAATCCAAAAACAGAAACAGTTTCTCAGAATAAAATTTAATTTAACGAGTACAAATAGTAAAAAATGGCCAAAAGGGGGGAAATACGAGATGGATTCCAGCAATAAAAATTATCAAAGTAAGAGAGATGAGTCATTTTCTTTGAGTTCCATAAATCTAATTCACTAATTAAAAAAAAAATCAAGCATTATTCTAATATTAATTAATAAAAATAAAAAGAAAATGTATTTGTGAGAGGGAGCAGCCATGTTGATAATGTCAGGTTGGCGTGCCTATCACTGTGACTCTTCTTAGGAGAGAGAAATTATTTAGAGTGGGTATCTTCCATTTTTGCCCACTTCTCCTCTTTTTCCTTTTATTTCAATCAACCAATTATTTTCCTATTTCTTTTCCTAAATTTTGCTTCAAGTTTACATTTTTTTTAGAGAGATATTCATATTTTTTAAAAGAAAAAAAAAACATTCTTAAACATAGCTTTTCGTGTAGTTAAGGTGGCTGACAAAAGCTTAAAAAAACAACAGCTCATTGTTCTGATTTATGGAATGGTATACCATTTTTAATTTCTTTCTACCATAATCTTTTGTTTCCTCTTTCTTGATTTTTTTTTCTAGTGTTTTATACCATATGTTGTTTTTTGTTCTTTAATTGTCGCTCGAATAGACATTCGAGTTGGAATTGTTCTTCGTGTCTTTACTTATGTTCGCTTAATCGATCATACAAGTTCACTACGAAAAAAAACCAGGCCGACAACTTGAATCGTGTTAAATTAGTAAAATTACCATACAAAGATTGATTCTTTATAAAGCTAATGTTGGTTATTGGCATTCACAAAGAAGGAAAATTTCTCTCTCTAAAGGTCAGTTTCAAACACACTTCACTAGGCTAGTAGCCTTAGACCCTCTGCTTCTAATGATTACTACTATTTCCTCTCAGTTTTCTTCTTTTTCTTTTCCTCTGTTTTTCTGGGTTTAACTTTTTTTTTTCTTTCTCTAATAAGTTTAATATTTTTGGTAGAGTTGTATTAAAAAACCAATATTTTTAAGTACAACATTTTTAATGGGTTTCCATGAAAATTCGTGTCATACGAATATTCTCTTCCAAATCTAATTCCAATATAAAAAAAATTATACAATAAAGTACTCATTTAGAGCATCTTTATTGGTGAACCCAAATAAATGATTCATGGGTCACTATCACCATTTCTCTCTCATCCACATCAATCCAACAAACCATTTACAATATTCACTCTTAACAATGAACACTAAACAATGGTTCATCATCAATACTCCCTACCCCACCTTATTTTATTTTTGTAAATATAATTTTTTTTGTTTCATAATTATAATTTATTAACCCGATGTCAATGTAATTAATTGACGTATTTAATATTTTAATCGTGATAACTAATTAAGAAATTATCGCATTTTTTTATCAGCTTTTTAAAAAACTAATTCTTGTGATTAATATTTTTTAAACAACAACGCAGCTAATTTTAATTAACAAAAAAAAAAGAGGTACAAATCGTGATTACAGTTCTACAACTATAATCTAGTACATTTTATTTAAAAAAAAAAAAAAAACAACTACACATCGTTTTGTAAGATGTCCTTAGGAATAACCATTTGTTGTAAACCTAGTTGCCTAAGTTTTGGTTGTTACCAAATTTATTCCATATATGTTCGACCAAGTCGTTTTTTAGCTGCAAATGAGTCTGTTGATCCTCAATCTCTGTTCTACGAGACAAGTATAAGTCGATATCCACAATACGATCAGTACGGTACTCGGTAGTGTCCTCATTAGCGTTGCCTCCAGCATTCATAAACTCATTGGTATTAACGTTATTTTGATACGTCTCTCGTTCATCTTCAACGATCATATTATGTATTATGATGTAGGCGAGCATGATATTGTGGAGTATGTCGGTATCCCACGCCAAAGACGGCTTTTTAATAATGGCAAAACGAGCTTGAAGAATCATATTTTGACCCAAATTTATTTTCTTCTTTCTATTTGTTTTGGGGTTGGTATTAGCATCCATAATTATAATTTATATTTGGAAAAAATAAAAATTTAATAATAATAATAATGACAATAATAATAATAATAATAATAATAATAATAATAAAGGAAATAATAATAATAACGATAATAATAATAAAAATGATAATAATAACGATGATAATAATAATAATAATAATAATAATAATAATAATAATATTGGTAATTATAGAGGGGATTTTTGAAGAGAAAAATATAGTAGAAAGAAATGGATTTTCAAAGTTGAAGAAAGTATAGCAATATGGGTGTCTATTTATAGAGGGGAAAAAAATAGAGCCGTTGGTAATTTTTTTTTTTTTTTTTTATTTGTGTTTTGTAAAATATATCCGTTGCAAAATTACAACGGATTTATTTAAAACAGTGACACGTGTCAAGCAGCGGCTGGGCCAAGTGGCGCGCTCCCAGCCACTGCTTTCTATTTTTTTTCCTGAAATAAAAATAAAAATGGGTGGAGCCCACAATCCATAAATTCGTCCAAATGCTTGCAGCAGCAATCGATCCCACAACCATTCACTATGAACAATTATAGAGATCACCATTAAACCACCCATTCACTTGTTCACTCATTGTGAACTATTTTGTTCACCCTTAAGGCTGCCCTTATATTTATAAAAACTGCAAAATCCTTTTATTAAAAACCTGCACATTATCAGTGAAACAACTTTGTTGGTAAGAGAGATTGTTTGTCCACATGAAAAAAGTGTGGGAGATGCTGATTGTCCACCCTATGTTTTGTGCATTTTATGCAGGGCTTCAATTTCAATCTCAACAACAAAAAAGGGGTTTTTTCTTCAATCTAGGGTTTTTCTGTAACCCTAATTTGATTTTTTAATTTCTGGGTTTTTTTCCCTTTCTAATTCCCCTTTTAATTGGGGGGTAATTAATGAAAAAGGCGGTGTAATCTTTGAAGCAAGTGGAGGAGAGAGAAAATAATGTTATGGGTATGTAAAAATGTTACCTTGGGTTCCCAAATTATGTCCTGGCTCAGTGCACTGTGCTGCTGAGTAAGGAAGCATAATCAACTTAACCTCCACCCTTTTCTTCATCAATTACTATACTTTTGTTTTCTCTCTCTTCATTTTCACTTTCACTTTCTCTCTCTTAAACTTTTGCTTGGAGGAAAGAAGAAGGTGTTTGAAGGAGGGTCATTTTTAGTTTTTTACTTTGATATTTTAGTTTGTTTTTCCATTTTTTCCCAGATTTCTGTTTCTGGGTTTTTAATTTTAGTTGTTTTTAGTTGGTGGGTGTTGTTTAATTCTGGGTAAAGATGAAGTTTATGAAGCTTGGATCTAAACCTGATTCATTTCAGACTGATGGTGATAATATCAGGTCAGTTTTTTTTTTTTTTTTTTCTTTCTCCTCTCTTTTTGATTATTAAGCTGTTGCTGTTATTACTGTTTGATTAGAAAGCTTTGATTTTTGTTATTTCTTGTTTCAATTTGTACTGTAATTTCTTGATGTAGTACTATGGATTCTAACTTTCTAATTATAGATAAACTTCATTATCAAGGAGTACACCAAGGTTTAGTCTTGTTACAAAAATGGGGCTGAGTTATTAACTTATTTGTGTCAAATGAAATTAATGGGTATGTATGTGTTTCGGGTATTTATGACATTTTAGAGGCGAAAGTTGGTAGTATAGTATTGATGTTTGTTATTACTAATAAGCTGCCTACACTAATTTATGTCGATTGTTCCTTGATTTGGAGGTTTGGTCTGACATTGTGAGCTGGATTTTGTAAATTTGTGGGGTCCGTGGGGTCGTTCTTGTAGCTAACTAATGAACATGAGTTGAAGATCATTCAATGGATTTTACCGCGCTTCATAATAATAGTCTTGTCCCTTTGCCATTCATAGAGACATTGAATGAGGTTTGAAAACACTAATTGCTCTGTTATCTGGTCTCCTTGTCTCTGCTTAGCTAGCTTTGTGTTATTCATACTCCCTTATATTCCAATACGGGTTGGGAGCAATGATATATCTATCTCTGAGATGCGACGAAAAGGTCCGCATAGGTGCCATTACGTTTTTATATATCTAGTGTATTAATTACTGATATTTATATTGATGTTTTCCGGGTTTTCTTGAGTGATTAGGGGGCGCTTTTGTAATAGAAAACTACGAGATTGGATTAATTCAAATCAATCACCAATATAGGACTCTAATGTTTGTCTGGGATGTTAATATAAAAATAAAGTTTTATACTTGTATAATCGCAGTGAAATTAAATTTGGGGTCGAAATAACATTTTCCGACTTCTATTACTGTCTAACTGATTCTGTACCTGTGGTTTTTGCCTATGGAGTAGTTGATATTGTTAAGCTTTTCTGCTTATATGGACTACTTTTGGTATTGTCATAATGGAAACACAAGTCTCACTCTGAACACTGGAATGTTGGATGCTAATCTCATTTGAGTTACTAAATTTACATTGACATACCAAGGCAATATATGGAAAGTTCCCTGCTTTGATGCGATCTTTCTGTCACTCATTTGTGTGTGTGTGTGTGTTGGGGGGTGGGGGTGGGGGGGGGGGGGGGGGGGGGAAGGGATGAATCCGGGTGATGGGGCAAATTGCTTTTCTGCAATGAATGCTAAGATAAAATGATCAATTGATATATGATTAGAGTCGATCAGACATTAGTATGTAAATATGTACTGTATCATGTGGAGTTCATGACTGTTAGCTAGCTTTATGATATTGTGTGCATCGTTTTATAGAACTTTTTATTTTTGTTGTTGTGCTTGTCCGAAAAGCTTACCCTTTAATATTATTTAGATTGGAATTTATATTCTATTACCATGGCTTAAACTTGAGAATCATCGCTTTCAGGTTTGTGGCAACTGAGTTGTCAACCGACATAGTTGTCAATGTTGCGGACGTCAAATTCTATCTACATAAGGTATGAGAATCTTAAAAGTTTCACATTTGTAAAACATAAGATTGTATAGTAATACAATGGTGCTATATATCCTCTCTTCCTAGCTACGTTGCTTGTTTCCCTTTTTTCCTCTGACTTTTTGGCCTCATTACTAAAAAAAAAGAGGTTGGCATATGAAATTTTTGCCAGTTAATTATTTCTTTTCTTATGTTATCAGTACATGTCTTAAACATATTACATGCTTTGTTTGTTTAGATGACAGGAAGTAGCAAGGTGATTTTTTTTTTAATCCATAAAGATGTCCCAAAACAAACAACCTTGAAAGCATTACTTACACAATGGAATACATTACCTATAACCTTCCAATTTGCTTCTATTGTAATGCTTATATTATGTGCTATTTTTTTTTGTTTCCCAGTTTCCCCTACTGTCCAAGAGCGCTCGTTTGCAAAAGCTTGTTGCCGTGGCAAGTCAAGAAAGTCAGGACGAAATATTCATCGAGGATATTCCTGGGGGACCTGCTGCCTTCGAAATATGTGCAAAATACTGTTATGGGATGACTGTCACACTAAACGCCTACAATGTGGTTGCAGCTCGATGTGCAGCTGAATTTCTAGAAATGTACGATACAGTTGAGAAGGGAAATCTCATTTACAAAATTGATGTCTTTCTCAACTCTAGTATCTTCCGAGGTTGGAAAGACTCCATCATCGTTCTCCAAACAACTAAGTCTCTACTTCCATGGTCCGAAGAGCTCAAAATAGTTAGCCACTGCCTCGATGCAATAGCTTCTAAAGCATCCATGGATACATCCAAAGTTGAGTGGTCGTACACCTATAACAGGAAGAAGAACCCATTGGAGAACGGAGGGGAACAACATTACAATGGTGTGAGGAAACAGCTTACAGTTCCTAAAGACTGGTGGGTAGAAGACTTATCAGACCTTGATATGGATCTGTATAAGCGGGTAATAATTACAATTAAGGCGAAAGGAAGGGTTTCAAGTGATGTCATTGGTGAAGCCTTGAAAACTTATACATTGAGAAAGTTGCCTGGATTCAGCAAGGGTTTGGTTCAAGGTGGTGATATGCAGAAGAACCAATCATTAGTTGAGACTATAGTTAGACTTCTTCCAAAAGACAAAGGCAGTGTCTCTTCTAGTTTTATGCTTCGATTGTTGAGAGCATCAATGTCTTTAGGTTGTGGGGAAATGGTTAGGATGGAGTTACTGAGAAGAATTGGGTTGCAGTTGGACGAGGCTTCAGTGGCAGATTTGTTGATCCGAGCACCGCCTGGTGAAACTACTGTTTATGACATTGATTTGGTGGAGAATCTGGTTAAGGAGTTTGTGATGCAGGAACGTGTTGTTCAGAGTAATTCTCACAGTGAGATAGATTTTCAGGAGCTTAAGAAGCCTGTGGCCGTATCAGATGCTTCCAAGGGAATGGTTGCTAAGCTAGTTGACAGCTACCTGGCCGAAGTTTCAAGGGACCCCAATCTACCACTGTCTAAATTCATTGGTATATCAGAGCTTGTTTCGGGATTTCCAAGATCAACCCATGATGGAATATACCGTGCTATTGATATGTACTTGAAGGTAAAGTCAGTGCTGTTTAACCAGTTTCATTCGAGAATGTTTGTACATGTTAGTTTAGAGAACTTTCTAAAACAACTGAATCACCAATATCAGTTTGTTGAAATTGACAACACTCCTGATTTTCAATTCTTTATTTTTTTGTGCTATTTGTTACTCAAATGAAATTTGAAATTCTGCAGGAACATCCCGGTATAAGTAAGAGTGAGAGGAAGAAAATATGCAAACTGATGGATTGCAGAAAGCTCTCAGTAGAGGCATGTGCACACGCTGTGCAAAACGAACGCCTTCCCTTGCGAGTTGTGGTTCAGGTACTCTTCTTTGAGCAAGCTCGGGCCACATCATCGTCCCCAGGAAATCGGACCCCAGACTTGCAGCGTCCTGCCCGAGCATCCCTTCCTGGTGGATCACACGGAAGCTCAAGGTCTGCAACCACAAATACGGAGGATGACTGGGATGGGGTCCCCACAACAGAAGAGCTGAGGGCTCTGAAAGGTGAAATAGCCAACCTTAGACTAGGGGGTGGTGAAGGAACTAGCGGTGATGGCCCTAAGAACGATATCGAGAAAGCTGCTGCCAACAAGGTCCGAGGCTTGCTAATGTCAAAGAGGCTATTCTCAAAGCTGTGGTCCAGCAAAGAGAGAGACGGAGAGAACAGCAGTTCTGATACCTCTGAAAGCCCTGCATCGACGAATAATGCTGAAGAAACTATATCTACCCCTACCAGAAATAGGAGGCATTCACAACCTTAATCACAATCTTGTTCAAGGTTTACAGTCAAGAGAATAACGGTGCATTTTAGTGTGCCCCAACAATGTAAAATCAGCTCATTTTTTTAAAAATTTCCTATGTAGGAATAGGTAGGTCTGACTGACAAATTCTATCTCGCCATGTACAAATCCGATGATCCAAAGTGTTAGAGGTTGCCCCTCTGGTTCGTCGGTATAGGAGCTAAGGCTCGATGCAGGTGTCAAGGTATTCGAGTTTAGGTAATGTGTCAGTTTTAGGTTCTAACACGAGATTTTTCCCTATATATGAAAGCGGAAATGTATTTCCCTTCTATCAGTTCGTTTTTTTGTTGGCTACTTTAAGCAACAAATGAAATCTTATTGTAGATGCTGAAATTTAGATAGTTTAGGATGACTGAGTTGTAATAACAGTAGTAAAATGTTTGCTACTCAATCACTCGTATATCATATGGAGCCGCTGTTACAACTTACAAGATTTGAGTTGTTTAAAGCGCTATATTTAGGTGATACTTTTTACGAATAATTTTTTATGAATTGCAGAGAAATGGTCTTCAGCTCTCAAAGTGTAGTTTCTTATGCATATTCATAAATATCAAATATGTTAATGTTGTGTTCCCTCTGTTTCAAAATAATACGTTGTACGGATTATTGACATTTATTATTTGTTCGTACAAAATATTTCTCCTGTCCAGCTTAAACTTTTAAAGCCAGACAGCAAGTAGGCTTGGAGTAAAGGCAGTGAGTAAAATGTGCATAAACTCAAATGCACTTTTTTTTTTTATTTATATATTTTTTAATTACGTATTTCCTCTGTTTTTATTAAAGGCATCTGTTTGACTCTTGCACTATTCACTTATCATGCTTGACTTAATTTTTTTGCTATTATAAAATAAATTAATGTTATAATATGATATATCATTAGATTCCTTACAATGTTACTTATATAATGTAATTTTGTTATAATTTTAACTAATAAATAATTAAAGATATTAATAGTCAAAATTATATTTTGGCAAATATATCAGTCAAACTGTTACATTAAAACAAAACAAAAGAGAGTATTTTAGGGTAGTAGTAGTTGAAGGTCTTGAAGCTTCAACCAAATTCAGTGGGCCCAACCTGTCTTGTCTTTTATGTGTAAAAAGATTAGAGGCCCAATCCATTCTGTCCATTGGTGTGGCCCATCTAAATATTTGGACTCGTCGGTCGGTCTTGGAACCCCTGTTCAAAATCAGGTCTCGACATGAAACACAAGATTGAATCTCGACCATTTATGAAAAGTTTGATACCATAAATTAGCCCAACATAAGCAAGCCCAGTTAGACCCACCAACTAAAGGTACCACAACTCATTTTGCAACCTTCCATTGGTTGCTTAACGTAAAGAGTATTAGTTAAACCTTGTTTTTCAAAAAATTAATTGATGATTATTTTTGAAGTAATTTGCCACAATCTTACTTATATACTCGCTTCAATATTTGTGTTTCCGACAAACATTTGTCTATATTTATCAGTCAATGTGTTCCATACTCATATAAAGTGAGCAAATAAATAAAAACATATACTAAGCGATCCTATGAGTTAAAATTTTGGATATAGTTATGTCCGTCAAGAGCATAACGCTTATATTCCAATTGATATTCTATATGGAGATCAATAGATAATAAATACTCGAAGTAATTTTTATCAAGGCTAACTTACAGGAGGAATAATTACACATACAATAACTAACTATAAATTTCAATCCTGCTATTGTACTTATGCTAAACTTCAATTGTTAAGTTATCTTCCTTTTAGGCTTTTATTACCACGTCATCTCATACGTACAATGAGGGCAATTGTTGAAGTGTGCATGATGCAAAACAACCATTTTAATTAAAAATCGCAAAGTTTAATTAATCATTCATTATACATATATAAAAAAATGTATAATTAATCATTTTGTCTCCAACTAAATAGTTGATTGATTTGTTACAAATTTAAAAATGCGTGGCACTTTATTATCCTTGATTAATTGATTTGATCAATATAAACAAGAGTGATTAACAGAAGTGATTAACAATAATACAAGTGCGAAAAGACTAGCTTTAATTATGGAGTATATGACATTTACCTACTTAATTTTGCTTAATATGACAGAAAATTAGGCTTAGAAATGTTACCAATTAAAGAGGTGCAATTCATTCCCAGATTTTTTGGGATAGGAGGGGTAATGTTACCAACAAAGAAAGGTAGAGACCACTAAACTTTGTTCATTAAACATGTAGCGCAGACAATACATTAGTTAAATGGTCCCCTTAGATTGGTTCTTTTAATTATTTAATTTTTGTATTTTTGTTAGCATCATGTCTTGATAATGAGATTTCAACTTTAATCCCAAAGCTAGCACCATTAAGTGCAAAGTGACTTGTCCTTTTGCATATCATATTTTAGAGTTCTTCCATTTATAACTACCCAAGTGGAGCTCATTAATCATTATCATCACCACTCAAACATCATTATAATTGAGATTACTCACACTTAATTATGGTAAGTGATTAAGAATTCATTTACAATACATAATTAATATCTATTAATAACAGAAAATTTAATTTTTATATTTAATTTGAAAAATGATTTTAACACACTATAAGTTGATTTTGGCACACTCTATGTGAGAGCACATTTTTTATACTCCCCTCACATGGAGGTGTGTCACTATCAATTAAAGGTGTGCCAAAATCAATTTTCTTTTTGTTTTTGATCAATAATACAAATAAAATTGCAAAGAGAAATGAGACAATACAAAGTTGATCACTTTCTACTTTGAACAACACAAAAGCTAGGGAATGCACAATGGTATAACTTGGAAATAATTAACGTTATATTGATTAAACAGAAGCAAAATCAATACATATCAATTACAAAGTATGTGACAAGTGTATCTTATTTATATATATTCTTATTGAATAAGAAAACATAGCATGGACACATTAAGGTGTTTTATTTACCTCAATATAATAATTATCTATTAATAGATAATCAAATGATTGTATCAATACTCAAATAGTTAGTACACAAAACAATTAAGAGAGTCAATGTCAAACAATAACTTTTTGACACTGAGACCTGAAACCTCCAAAATTTCTCAAAAAGCGTGCATATTAGACTTTAATTTTGGAATTTTTTTAACCTTTTTTCGCCTGGAAATAAAAATTGACGAAATGTTTACCATGATCCCTAATACCCTCTAGGAGACCAATTGGGTGGGTGGAACCATCCAATTTGCCTTTAAACAGTCAATTTACCGATTTACAACTTGCAACGATTTCATCAACTCAAGCCTACCACGAACATTTATTGCAACATATAATGATCATATATGGTTCCAAACAGCATTATATGACCCGAGATTTATCCCCTAGAATTTTAAGACTTTTCGAAACCGGGCACCAAAACCTCCAAAATTCCACAAAATGCGCGGATATTAAACTTCAATTTTGAAATTTTTTGACTTTTTTTGCTCGTAAATATAAATTTCCATAATGTTTACAATGGTCCCTAATACCCTCTGGGAGTCCACTTGGCTAGGTGCAACCATTCAATTTGTCTTTAAACAGCCGAGTTAACGGTTTACAACTTGCACCGATTTTATTAACTCAAGCCTACAACAAACTTTTATGACAACAAATAATCATCAAATATGGTTCCAAATGGCATTACATGACCCCTAAATGTGTTCTTTAACATCTCAATGCTTTTCAACAACGGGCCCTGAAACCTTTAAAATTTCTAAAAAAGCGTGGATATTCGACTTCAATTTTGGAATTATTTTTAACTTTCTTTCGCCCAGATATAAAAATAGCCGAAATATTTACCATGGTCCCTAATAAATTCCGGGAGTCCAATTGGGTGGGTGGAAGCATCCAATTTGCCTTAAAACGGTCAATTTACCAATTCGCAACCTACACCGATTTTGTGAACTCAAGCCTACCACAGACATTTATGACATCATTTAATGATCATATATGGTTCCAAACGGCATTATATGACCCTAAGATGTATCTCCTAGGGTCTCAACATTTTTCTCCACCAAGCCCCGTAACTTCAAAAGTTCCTCAAAAAGCATGGATAATAGCCTTCAATTTTGGAATTTTTTTTGACTTTTTTCACCCGGAAATAAAAATTCCCGAGATTTTAACTATGGTCCCTAATACCCTCCGTTATTCCAATTGGGTAAGTAGAACCATCCAATTTGCCTTAAAACGGTCAATTTACCAATTCGCAACTTGCACCGATTTTGTGAACTCAAGCCTACCACGGACATTTATGACATCATTTAATAGTCATATATGGTTCCAAACGACATTATATGACCCTAAAATGTATCCCTCAGGGGTCTCAACACTTTTCGCCACCGGGCTCGTAACCTCAAAAATTCCTCAAAAAACGTGCATAACCTCCAATTTTGGAATTTTTTGACCAATTTTCGCCCGGAAATAAAAATTACCGAGATGTTTAACATGGTCCCTAATACCCTCCGGGAGTCCAATTGGGTAGGTGGAACCATCCAATTTTCCTTTAAACGGTCAATTTATTAATTCGCAACTTGCACCGATTTTTTGAACTCAAACCTACCACGAACATTTATGACATCATTTAATGGTCATATATGGTTCCAAACGGCATTACATGACCCAATGATTTATCCCATAGGGTCTCAAAACTTTTCGCCACCGGGCCCGTAACGTCAAAAATTCCACAAAAAACGTGGATAATAGCCTTCAATTTTGGAATTTTTTGACTTTTTTCGCCCGGAATCAAAAATTGCTGAGATGTTTACCATGGTCCCTAATACCCTCCGGGATTCCAATTAGGTGGGTGGAACCATCTAATTTTCCTTAAAACATTCAATTTACCAATTCGCAACTTGCACCGATTTTGTGAACTCAAGCCTACCACGGACATTTATGACATCATTTAATGGTCATATATGGTTCCAAACGACTTTATATGACCCTAAGATGTATTTCCTAGGGTCTCAACACTTTTCGCCATCGGGCCCCGTAACCTAGAAAATTCCTCAAAAAGCATGGATAATAGCCTTCAATTTTTGAATTTTTTGACCTTCTTTTGCCCGGAAATAAAAATTGCCTAGTTGTTTACTATGGTCCCTAATACCCTCCGGGATTCCAATTAGGTGGGTGGAACCATCCAATTTGCCTTAAAACGGTCAATTTACCAATTCGCAACGTGCACCGATTTTGTGAACTCAAGCCTACCACGGACATTTATGACATCATTTAATGGTCATATATGGTTCCAAACGACATTTTAT